AATAAGTTTTGTCTTTGAATTTTTTATATTGATTCTAGGATCGAGGGACGGATATTAGTCAAAAATGATGTCAAATCCCTCACCGATTAAGAATATTTATTTTTATTTATTTATATTTTATTACTACATTTCACTGAAAAGATGACGAGAATTGTTCTCAAAATTCAAAAAAATTCTGCTCACTGAATACATTCAGAACTAATAGAGAATTTAAACGGATAGGAACTACTGCCAGATAGAGGGATGTAATTTTTGCAGCATTCTCTTTGACTTGCATTTGTTGAGCGCTTCAGTTAATTCTTCGACTTTTACGTTACGTTAAGTAAAAGCATTAAATAAAAAACTCTCTTCTAAGCCAATTTCAGGTTACGCTAAAGACGACCGACAATGCAAACTTAAAAATCTTATCAAAGATGCATGAAAGTGATCGAAAACTTCTCTTGCCTCAATTGATCAACAATGCAAAGTCAGTAGAATAGTATGGACATAGTTAATACGTCTTGCGTTATTTTAACTAAGGAAATAGCGGAGGCAATCCGCCGCCATGCAAGAATGTTTCAACGACTTCAGATTTCTTCCTTCCTCCTCCCTCTTCTTTAACATACTGAACTACCACAAACTGATGACACATATATATTTATTCGAACAATAGTTTTAGCACCAGGGGAAGAAAGTCTCTGTTGCAATGGGCAATTGCAGGCTGGGCACGTTGCTGCGGTCAAGACGTTTTGTACTGTAAATTAAAATATTTGAAAGAACGTACTTCATATAGTAGGATCTGTATAACTGGGTGTCGCAAACTGAAAAAGCACGCACAATCAAAATAACACTTGGAAAAATGAAAACTAAAGCATGTGCTTGAAAAGTTCTTGACTTGAGTACAGTGTAGAAGAAAGATATATAAGGCATAAAAACAACAAGGAACAAAATTTTCGTTTCCTTTAGACCGAATCATAGGTACCTAACAAAATGTTGATACGAGTACTAGTGCAAATTTATAGCGACCGGTGATATAAACGCACCACTAAACGCACACCTGTAACGAGTAAACTACTAATCTTTTGTTGCGCTTGGAAATAACAGAAATAAGATAGAAGTGTACGAAGAGTGAAAGAATTGAAACGTAGGACAAAAAAGAGACGGTGAAAGTGGAAGGCCGCTAGACAGTAAAATCTAGTCTGCAAGTAAAAGACAAAGTCTCTGTCTCTCTCTCTCTCTCTCTCTCTCTCTCTCTCTCTCTCTCCTTCTCTCTGTCTTATTTTAACTAACACCTTTGTGTTTCTTAGATCCAAAAGATTCGCCATTTTATTTTATTTTTATTTACATAGTGAGCATGATTTAAAACGTCCAGGAATCTCTCTAATCATAGCTCTCGCGAACATCTTTCTCAGATTCTCATTCCTTTTACTGAATTTTGCTGAGGACGAAAAATTTTTTGTTTTTCTCTTTGAACATATTTTTATATTACAAACGTTATGATGAAATTATCATAACTGGCATCATCGTCGTAATTGTAGCTACAAAATGAAATTTATTTAGAAATTTATGTCTACGAGATGACGAAAAATTATCTAAAAATAATATCGCATTATTCGTGACATTCGAAATTTAAAGGAAGCAATGTTGAAGACGGCAACTAAACACGTTTGTTAATTTTAGAATAAGAGCGCTGACGACGGCAGAAGAATCTTCCGTCAAAAAAAAAAAGAAAAACACTACATAAGGTATTTTACCTTTAAAAGAGAGAAAAGAAGAAAGACGCAGATGGAGGGGGAGAGAGAGAGAGAGAGAGACAGAGCGAAAGAGACAGACAGAAAAAAAATTAAAAAAGAAAAACGAGAAAAAGGGAGAAAGACGCATAAATTGAAGATCAACACCACCACGCAAACTCTTATTAATCAAGAAAAGTTGGCATTAAAACGAGTGCAACACAAGTGCCATTGAAGTTGCACTTACTACTCACGAGACAATATGTACCACCAATGACTCACTTATTTCAACGTGCTTAGCATCCCGTCGCTTTAAATATAAAAGCGGAATAAAGAATGTTGTTGAAAATCGAAATTCTTTGCTCTCTTCTTGAAATTTACTCCATATGTTTTCCTACATAAAATAAATTCAGCAGAAGGAGCAGAAAAGCGAACATAAAGAGAAACGATAAAAAAACACATGATTGAATGATAGATTTTACAAAAAGCTTAGGTGAGAACGGAAAGACGAAACAACATAGAAACTAAAAATTTATTATTAAAAATTTTCTTTTCCCCATTCGCGTACATATCCTCGTAAAAAAATGAAATGAAGTCCATTCTACGCGGTGAGTCCAATACTGAGATTGAAAAACCTATTCCTAGTTTGGTAAAATCATTCTTGGATTATTAATCAGTACCACTCAAAAATGGAAAAATTCCTAAGGGGTGCCGCCCTGCATTACTTGAATCAATATCTTTCAATGTACAGATAACACTGCAAACGCTAGCTTCTACACCTTCTTGTATACGGAAAAGGCGTAGTATAAGAAGGATGAAGATACAGCGAATGATACAAGTAAAGTGTAGAACGAGAAGCGAAAATGCTAGTGAGCGTCTTCCTAAGACGAGTCCCTTCATACCTACTATTATTTAAATAAAAAGCATAGAACAATTGATCGATTAACATACGCTACAAAATATAATCGGTATGTCGAACGGTATCGTATATACATTGTCACATTATTTGTCAACATTCTGCAGATTAACGGTATAGCCGAAGCGTTTTGTCCGTACAATTTACCTAATTATACCCCGGAAATTGAATGGACATACATGGCGAATTCCAAAAATTACATATAATTTTCACTAGTGCTTGCTAAGCAGCGAAAAATAAACTTTATCTTGAATTCCCATTAGACCCGATCCCCCAAACAATGATTTATATCCAGTTATTAACATAACAAAAATATTACAAAAAACACTTAAGGGCTTATTTGAAACAATAAAAGAAATGAGTGTGTACCTTTTCCACAAATACATAGGCATATAACAATAATAAAAAAAGCGTACAGCTTTCGAAACTTTCGCTTTAAATTCATTGTGAGAGTATTGCTAATAACTAAATCCTATTCAATTGCTCGCATGAAACCTCCCTTAGTCAAGAACAAGTAATTTAATGTGAACGTTATCGCTCTACTCTATTTGGTTAGAAATTTAGATGTGATATCTTTCTTTAAGAATCATTAAACTCAGTTGCAATGTTTATTGGCTTTTAGTAATTTTGGCAAATATTCAAAAAGCGTTTGTTTAGTGGTTATTTTTCGTCTTCTCTTCTCTGCCAGTACTTATTTTATCTTCTTTATGTTTGTTATTATTTTGCTTAACAAAAATTTTGCAAAAAAAAAGTATTTAATTGCAAATAAGATAACACTTATGCGCTAACATTTCTCTTATGACGTCAAATCAGTTTTTTTACCGGCCACTGAAGGATGGGGTGGTACAGTCATTTTGTTTTTTTTCCATTCTGTATGTAACAAGTAAAAGGAAGCTTCAGAGACCCTACAAAGTGCATATGTTCGGGCTCACCGCGAAACATCCGACTTCAAATTTGATAGGCCTCCGCCGAATATGACTTTCTTAATTGTTCTTATTTCAAAATATTTATTATTCAGCCAATAATAACGGTTTTTTGACGTTCATTTAAAAATGAACGAATTCTTCGCACTAACGCAAAAACGTATTTTACTGAAAAGAAAACATAGGAATATCCGTAGATAACTGATCAGCTGATTGACTGATAACCATCGTACACCCCAAAATATACAAAAATTGACACTTTTTTAATTGTAATGCGATGCGTGCGATTCTATCTGATAATATTACTAGAGAGAAGCTCTAAGCCAAGCTTAGCGGAAGAATTTTCCAAGGCCCGAAAAGACAATCCACAATTTGTCGTATCGCAAAATACATTCTCCTTCGTTTTCTTCGTTCCAAGTAGTTAAAGTAAATAATAAAATCGTGGACATTTTTTGGCGAATTATATTCACACAAATAAAAATTATATTCCGCCATGGGCGAATCTTTTATACCCAACCTTAAAAAAAAGAACTAAATATATAAAATTTTAATAATCTTTAGTAGTAGTTTTAATAAATCTTTAGGAGACGTACAGACAGACGGACAAATGTTTCTAGATCGATTGAGAGTGTAGTTTGATGCTAAATAAATATTACATATATGTTTCGATTATTTCTACAGGTAAAAAAATGGGAAGTACCAGTGTATTAAATTCAATAATTTAGATCTTTTTCTACCTAAAATTACCATTTTCAATTTAATATTATTGATTTATTCAGACTACACCGACGCTAAGCATGGTGAAGACGTAAAGACGCTCTAATAAAATGGACGACTTTTAATCAAAATCGTGATAACTTGGCAGAATGTGGCATCAAATCAAAGTTACTACGGTTTAGCAAATTTAAAGCGAAAACGGAATTGTCTACTTAATATCGAAAACTACTAAAAAAATTCTACTTTTCTTAATCAAAAAAAAAAAATAAACAAATTTAATCCATATTGAACTAATATATTTACTATTTTTTTTTGTTTTTTTTATCTACAAATTTTTTTTAGTAAAGACACTTTGTGTCTACCACATTCAAGCTCTTTTCCCATTAGTTTTTCCTTATCTTGCATTAATTTACTTTTCTGCGTCGCTCCTTTTTTTTGTAAAAACATATGTTTTTTATTTACTATTGGCATAATTGTTTTGCTCAACAAAAACTTGGCACCATTTAGACCATCTAGAACTAAATCAGTCTTTATGGAATTCCATATTTACTGCGAATTCTATATAGGATGCGACAAAAAGATAATAGCATCGTTATAGGCGATAAATTTTATAATTTGAAATATTTCCCTATTGCACATGGGGAATGAAAAGATTTACTAAAAACAACTGCAACACCAAATTAAAAAATCAAATAGTTTATACTTTCGTCAGTTGTTTACATTTTTTGCGCTTACCACTGTTCGATTGCTCGTCTATAGTTTTCATGATGTTTGTTTATAAGATTTTTGTTACAAATATGCAGTGTAAAATAATATGTAAAAAAATATCCAACCATTAAAGCTTCTCCCAGAGAAGCTGTACGTATGTAACTATTCAAAAATGTTAACCGAAAAATAAACGTCAAAAAGAAAAGTTTTCAATTGTTTGAAAAGTTGGCGGTAAGCCTTCACTCAAATTTATAAATTGGGCAATCTTTTAATGGACACGTATTTAATACACTATTAATTACTTTTCTCGAATAGTGTCTCAAAAGTGTGGCAATTTTGGCGGAATTGTAAAAATTTTACAGGATTAGAATATTAGTAAGAGATTTTATTTTTATACTTATTTTTTCTTTTATTTTCTTTTTTACACATTTATTTTTTAAGGAATGTTTATGTATATCCTTGTATTTTCTTTCCTTTCTTACGTATTATCGATGAGTTTATTAACGCCGATGAGTGTGTAGTTGACAAAAAAAATTCATTTAAATGTATCTACATGCTTGTGGGATGCTCAACAACCACTTACACATAAAAACACACATACGTACTTGAATTGCTCTTGTTTTCTGCGATTTTTTGTATGTTCAGCGCAATGATTTTTTTTAACACACTTTCCTTTTTTTTTGCTTTATTAAATTAAATCTATCGACTTCTGAATGTAAAAGCGATTTTTTCTATAATGTGACTTCAATGCCATTTCGAAAAAATTTCAACTTCCATCGCTTCCTTTGATGTAAAATTTTATTTTGTTGAGTGCTTTTTTTCTTTTTTTTTAACAAAGCCTACTATTTATTTTCATTCTTTTCTTGTTTTTAATTTTAACATTTTATGTTACAGTTCTTATTGTATTCATTTTATTCAAAATTAAGAATTTTCTCTTTTTTCTTGCTTTTAACATATTTTCCATTAAATTCTATGACTGACGCGCATCCATACATTTGTCGTCGAAAGGCGAATAATAAACTACTGGCGGCTTAACAAAAATTAAAATTTCCAACGATCGTTTGCTATGTTTTTGTTTTTGCTTTTTATATCGCTGCGATGTTTTTAATAATTGATATTTCAAATCCATTATAAGGATTGGGTATAAAACTATGGGATTGAGGATCAATCAACCCAGTGACGTAAACTGAACAAATAAGTGCAGATCAAATTACATAAAAACCAAAGGGGAATGCTTATGAAAATGAGCCCTTCGCTTGAGATTACTCCAGATATGTTCCTATTTTGTTTACGGTTTTCGTTTTGTATTAAAACATCTCCCCGTTCATAGAATTTATTAAGATTTTTTCTTAATATGGCAACATAGTGATTTTGCTTTGCTAGGCGTACACGGTTATAATGGAAAATTTGGAAGAGTTGCAGGATTTATTACCGAAATATGAAGAGATTGAAGAAATTTTACTGAAAAATCCTGAAGCGAACTATGTCATATCATTAGCCTTGAAAGTATTGAAGGATATCGTCCGAGATTTGGATAAAACAAGTGAACAGTGGGAAGAGAGCTCCTACTTAATACAAGCGTTAGTGGACAAATGCTGGGAAAGTATTCATACCGATCATTTTAGTAAAATTCCTTTATACGTAAGGCAAATTTATAGTATAGCTTGCTACTTAAAAGTGAGTATCATATGAATATTTTAACAAAAAACACTTTATGAAAATTCTTCAAAAAGATTTTCTTTTTATTACTAGAAAATAGGGAATTAAAGCAAATTGAAAAATGCAGTAAAATACTGGATGAAGCTCTGCTTATAGGCTATTCTCAAAAACTTTATGAGAATGGCGATAGATTGGTGGAGAAGTTAATGCAGATCTTTAATGATAAATTGAGTAAATATGTAGTTACATAAAATTCGTAGACTTAGATTTAAAATTATAATTCTCTTGCAGATTTAGTTGAGGATTTAAAATTGCCAATAATAGAAAATCCACCACGCGTTAATGCGTTATGTGATATACCAAGATTAGAATGTCCTTCTGTAGAAGTATTTAAACGCGGATATGTTGAACGAGAACAGCCTGTCTTGCTGCTTAACACATTAACCGAATGGCCAGCTCTAAAATTATGGCCTGATTTGAATTACATATTAAAACTGGCTGGAAATCGTATGGTGCCTATAGAAATCGGTTCCAATTACTCAAATGAAGAATGGTCGCAACAACTAATGAAATTGCGCGATTTCCTAGAAAGACAGTTTTCAACAAGTAGCGGGATATCGTCGCGGAAAGTAGAGTATTTAGCTCAGCATGAACTTTTCGAACAAATTCCTTTGCTTAAAAAAGATTTCAATGTGCCGGATTACTGTTCTTTGCGCTCATCTAATACTGACGTAGATATAAAAGCTTGGTTAGGACCGGAGGGGACTGTGTCGCCACTTCACTATGATCCTAAACATAATTTGCTTTGTCAAGTTTTCGGGTCGAAACGTATTATTTTAGCCAGTCCTAAAGATTCCCAAAACTTGTATACTCATGAAAGTGAATTTCTTAAAAATACCTCTCAAATCGATGCCGACGCTGTCGATTATCAGAAATTTCCTTTAGTAGCAAACGTGAAATTTTATTATTTAAAGCTGCAAGCGGGGGACTGTTTGTATATGCCTCCCAGATGGTGGCATTATGTAAGATCTCTAAGTCCTAGTTTTTCGATAAGTTTTTGGTGGGAATAAAATAGCTATGAAGCAAGAAGACCAATTAACTAAATGTACTACAAAATTTTTAAGTTGCTTATCTAAACTGTTAGTATGCGGGCCCCAGGCTTGATTAGATAAATAAATGTTTCAATTGCTTTTATCTATATAATGTATTTAATCAATGAAAATAAAATTTCTATTTCATTTTTTGTTTGACCCTTAATTTGTGCCGTTATATCGACTGGAGCTATTTCTAATATTAAAATAAAATAATACTAAAAAAATTAAATGTGACTTATATTTATCAGCAAATTTTTCTCTTTACGGCCCTGTTTGATGGAACAACATTGTGCCGTATGTCTGGCATGTTTTTCCTACATATAAGCTAAGCATTCTCAGCCATCCGAGTTTTTCGGCAAAGCAAAAATCTGACAGCATCAGTGTCTCCATCGTCTTCATCCGAACAGAAATTCGTTTCAGACATTTTGGAACCACCAAAGTATTGCCAAAAAATCATTCTTTATGTTTATTTAAGCGATGCTGTTCCATGATTTTAAATTTATTAATGTTTGCGTACGCGGCTCCCCTCTCGCATATTTTTCAAATTTTCTGATTAAAAGTCTTTCAGTCGTTAATAGATTCAACATTTATCATTTTTTTATTGCCAAATTTTATCTTAAGAATCTTATATTCGAAGATAAGCCTATAGTTAATCACCATGCTAACCAGGCCACCGCCGTTATGTCTGCCTGAAACAATCCGCTAAACGTAGTGTAAGGGACTGGTTGTGTATGGACAGTTATTTTTCTTTCTAGAGTCATCCGTTAACCCCGCAGCAATTAGTGTACATTGATATTCTCACCCTGGAATGAATGAATTTTGATTGCTGGCTGCCAAGGTTATCAGCTTATATTGCATTGACGCAGCGTTTAATAGATTCCTCAGGGTGTAAGAAAATATTTCAGATCCCTACTAGACTGATTTCTTAGAAAGCAAACTCGTCAAGCGCTAAAATTTCTATACAGAAATCGAAAAAATATTTGTCAAAAGCAGATATGTGATGCAGGAAATCGAGCGATGGAAATGACTTACCAGTACAAAATGTGCACACGCTCCATATAATCGTCACGTTTTCCAGCGAATATCGTTGGGAAACACACTGTTTTCGGTTAAAAAATTCCATATTAACAATGGTGAATTTCATACAGTTCATAAAGTTGTTTGTAAAAATCATGCGCCCATTAGCACTATTGCTTACCTTACCAAAATGCTTGTTTTAAGCAAGATTGACTATGCTTTGACAATTTACAGCAATAGCTGCAAATCTAATATCAATATCCTTAAGCCGGTCTATCACCAGGCGGACGACGTCCATCAACACTATTATAATTGGAAACTAGTCTGCTAGCTTTAGAAAGTAGACTTTATGGGTTAAAAGGTAAAATCGTTCCCAAGCTTCTTAATTCAAACAAATCAATTCTCGATGAAAATGTGAGAAAGATTATTAGTGCCAAGAAAATTCGAAAGTCGCCGCCTTTGACCGTAATTAACTATTGCTTGTACCTCGGAGAGGAGTTGAACACTTCCTTAAAAATTTTCCGCTATTTTGGTCTTAAAACCCCATGGGTTTTGAAAGACTACCCTTTTGACATTTCGCTGTCTATGCACAAGAAAGAAGACCCTCCAAATCACGTCTTCAGGGATCTAATTGCTGAAAAAACCCAATTACTGGAGAGTAATGGATGGAATCTTTTATACAGAGATGGTAGATGCCTCAGTACAGGTTCTTCTCAATCACATATTTCACGAAAGTGCGTCAACTTTCACAACCGAAGCCAGAAAAGTTAAAGAGAAAATTATAGAAGTACACCTACAATACCGTTATCGGCACTACTCTTCTATTAACCCCCAATTAGATCCACTTTTATATCCAACAAATGCTAAGAAAATCAGGATCTGAACATTTTCGAGAATTCGCCTTAGCCATACAATTGCAGAACAGAATCTCAATACAATATATTACTTTGCTAAAACTATTACGCACAATAATTACTTTTATAAATTAGAGCCGATAGTCTGTGTTGCTGGTGCTTTAAGAATTTACTTCATTTTAACAATAATAATGATAATGAATAGTAAATGCGAAGAGGATATCAATCGATCAAATTTTGGAATGGCTATCTTGTTCTAACTTATACGGACACTCCAATCACATGTCGTCTCCTTTTGCAAAGGTCATTACGACGATAGTATTTGAAGGTCTATTCACAATCTTGATTTGTCTTGGTTATTGCAACTGCAAAAATTATACCGTCATTCTGTTCCCGTCGCGTTGTTTAAAAGAATGCAATGTCGTCAAGCATAGGTGTCATAAGAAGTGAAAACCATCAAGTTTTATTTATTTTTATTTTTTATTCTCATTAATATTGTTAGTTATTTTTTTAATAACTATTACAAAAAAAAAAAAATTCAGTTTAATTATTATTTAGTAGGACGAAAAAAACAAAATCCATTAGCAGAATGTGCAAAAAAAAAACAGAAAAAAAAAGTATTTAGAAGCTTTGTATATAGTTAAACTCGCCCACACGTAAGATACAACTAACTTATGAAAAAACCTACATTAACAAGAATTAATAACTTAAAGAAAGGAAAGGAAGTGAAAAGATTATAAAAAATTTATATGTATAACGGGGTTGAGAGAGTTGAATATAATTGCTTTTGGCAAAAATTTTAATTTTAAAGGCTAATAATGGATGTGCTTGTTGTTGTTTTAATCAAATTCATAATTTAATTGGCTTTCTTATCAGCCTTGTCACCGCCCTCGGCGTTAACGTTCACTTGCTTTTGTAATTTGCTGTATTCCTCCGTGAGACGATCATATTCCTTGTTAAGACTCTCAGCTTGCGATTTCAAAGCTTCTTTATCCTTCTTCTCACGATTCAGCTCCCCAATTAACTCGTGAATGCGCTCCTTCATCTTGGTGACCTAAGCATAAATAAATGCAATAATACGTTAACGCGAATATTCTGTGTAAAAAAATTTTTTTTTTTTTTCGTTTGAAATTTTTCCAAAGGCCTTTTTAATTGAATTTTTTATCAACTAAAATGAATTGTGATATATTTGCATTGAGTCCTTGTACCCGTTTCCTCAAATTTGTTAACTGTTAAAAAACAAAGGAAAAAAACAAAGCCAACAATGGGGAAAAACGAAAATATTAAGAATTCAGGAGCAATAAAGACAATGAAATATCTTTTTCATGCAAAGCTATGATATTGAATAATATAAGAATTTAAAAAACTAGTGGCTTCCATACAAGAACTCAATACGAAAATTAGACGAAACCAAATAAAAATACGGAAGTTGTTTTGAGCTTATCGCGAGAATTTGATACTAAACACATCTCAATAACGTTTAAGCAGAACGATCTGAATGATTTTCCCCTAAAACTTTTCCATAATCTGCTGTAGATGGTAGTGTTACTAATAGCGAACAGACTTGGGAATTTACTAACATATAAAAAAAACAAAAAAATTTGGTAAGGGTAAAATAAAGCTTGCTCGCTATTCTAAGTTTTTGTGAATATATTGAAAACAGCTGTTTTATCAACTTTAAAATTGTGTAAAAAAAAGCTGGTCGGCCACAATCAATTCAAAACAGTTGCCTCTTTCAGGGACAGATATGACTATCTACACAAAATCTCAAGCTTATCGACACTATTTGGTAAGATCTGCTATATGTACGAAAAAATCACCCAAAAATTGAAAATTATTTCGAAATATCTGCTGTATATAATGGCGTCACTCATAGCAAATGGATTTAGGAATGTAATAACACATACAAAAAATCAAAAAAAACCTACGCGGATTATGTATGCAACAATTGAAAAGTCAGCTATCTATTTCCATTTTAAGGTCCTTTGTTTTATTTGCAACTTGAGGAAGATAAGCCTTCAATACTATGAAGCACACGAGTTACTCATTTGTACAAAAGAATGTTCGTAAAATTAGTCAAAATGCCGTCAAATTTATTTGCTTGTGAAATATACCCGGTACGTTGACACAAATCCTTTTTTTTTTTTAGTTTACTTTAAAGCAAACACAATTGCACAGGCATTAATAATACTTTCACTGCTAAGGTCTATTTTTAACTTCACTCTTACTGTTAATACCAGTAGTGGAAAGAGATAGCGCAAAGATTAAGTTTTATTTCAATCAAGTAATGCTTTTCCCTTCACATCTATAGGCTCGTAACCATACCGTGCTACGCTTCTGATTAACATGCAGAGCAATAATAGAATGTTTTAAATGCTTTATGAAACTTACCTCAGCTAATGTGCTATCTTCTTGAGCTTCATCAGCTTTTTCGGTATTTCTGTCTTCCATCAACGAACGTATAGTTGCAGAAGCAGATTGCGCTTGTTTTAACGACGCCTCACTTTGAGCCAATAAATTAGCCTGTACCGAGATTAATGTTACTAAACGTCGTATAACCAATACCAAAAAAATTGCAAAACCAGATATGTAGAAATTACGCTGAGCTCTAAATAAGCGCATACTATGCTGCATTTCTGTGTTCAAGTGAACGTCTGAAGAATGTTCTTGAGTGGAATATTTACGCATTTCGCGAATAGCTTCCAATAGAAACAAAACTAATACGCCCATAATAAGGCAGAAGTAAAGATGCGCTTGTTGAGCTATCATAGCCAAAAATTTCGATTTGAAGAAACGACTCCATTTGTATGGGCTAGCCACAGGTAAAACTAATAAGAGTACCACGCAGATTTCAGCATATAAAAAACCGGCTATCAAAGTCCAAACCAGACCCATTTTTACAATTGAATTTTATTGTGCTGCTGCTGAAGTGTACAGTTCTTTTTTTTTATTATTATTTTTGATGTGAATTAATATTGAATGTCTTTCTTTCTCTTATATTTCAACAAAGAATGTCTGAAAAGTGCGATACAAAACGTAAATCAATTCTTGTACGAAAGAAAAATGAAAGTAGAGTTATTTTTAAAAATTCTTACTCTTTTATGCAAAAATGTTTTTGTGAACACGTATATGTTCAGCAATTTTTTTTGCTATTAATCACTTATTTCATCAGATCTAAAGAGAAGCAGTGGTAAGAAAGAGACGCACGGAGTGCGAGCAAAACCGGTGAATGGAAATTATTTGCTGATTGTAATTTTCGGTATTTTCTGTTAAAAGTAGTTGCCATACTGATAAATTTTTTTTTTAATTTTGAAAAAAGTATGTATGAAAAACTATTCCAATTTAATAAGCAATCTAGAACAAACGGAGATGGTTTTTCTTTACTAACCTCTCCCTCTTCCTGCTGCTTATTGTCATCTGTCGTTTCTTGCATGTTTTTATTTAGCTTTTCGTCTATCATAGATTCGGCAGCCTTTGAAGCAGATCGAGCTTGTTTAATTGCTGCATTATTTTGCGCCAACAATTGATTGATGATTGAAATGAAAGCGATTATTCGTTTCATTACTATAATCAAAAATGTCGCGAAGCCTGATATGTATAGATTACGTTGAGCCTTCAAAAAATGCATTTCCTGTACAATATCCAATTTCATCTGGGCATTTTTCTCCTCCACTTGCGAAAATTTTCGCGTATCCACATAAGCACTTGCAAGGCAAATAGTTAGTACACCAAGCATTAAATAGAAAAAACGCACCGTGTTTTGCTGTATTCTCTTTACAAGCTGCGATTTAAACAAGCGGCTCCAGTGAATTGGTTCAATGATAGGCAGCATTATTAATAATATTACTATGATTTCCAAGCAAAGAAATCTATCTATTATAGCCCATAAAAAAGTCATTTTGAGAATAATTTCAATAACTTTTCGATGAAGATTTCCCAATAGGCAAAACAAAAATTAATTGAAATTGTCAATCAGACAAGTCTTCGACAAAACGGTCTTTGATAAACTGACTGAACTGAACTTGAATTCAAAGTATATTTTCCAAAAAATTTTCAAATGTTGCTTTGTTTTTCATCACCACAACCTTGTTACCGCTTTTTAAAAATGTGAAGCAGTTTCATTTAAAAAAAAAAACTAAAGCAATTTATCATGGAAAAAGTTCTATTTGACAGCCTATTTAGGTATTAAAAATTACTACAATTTGTTTTTTTTTTTTAATGTAGGCGTGTTTAATTATTTTTCATGATCATAAAAATTACAAAATTGTTCTTATTTTAATCTGCAGAACAGTAACCCTGCCGCTACTGTCGTTTGTAAAAATATGACAACAAAAGCAAGGCATGCTTGTTTATGTATATCGAACAAACAGAAAATTTGAATTTGTTTTTTCTATTGATTCGAAACACTCGCCATGTCTTATGGTAAATGGTTAAATTACTTAAATAGCGCGGAAAAGAGTTCTGTAATAAATGGACGGAGCCGAAAAATACATTATAAATTTCCGGACGGTCAACAAATGGCTGAAGAATACAGTATGGATACAGGAGTTTTGCAGAAACGGGGTTGGCGTAAATCTCAACAGCTATTGGGTGAATCAGAATGGGAAGTAGAGGTTGGTGAGGATTATCGTCAATTAGGCTGTGCGGGCGATACCGAACAGATGTCGAATGGAGATAATAATTTTACTGTGAAAATAAGCAATACGGAACCTATTTTGAGTAAAAGAATAACTAAAAAAAACATTGAATGGCGCATACGTAATCTACCCTACCCGATCACGGTATACCAAGTAATAGCTGATTGCACGAAACGAGCTATTGTAGTGAAGACCACTAATAAGAAGTATTATAAGGTTATAAAAGTGGAAGAATTAGACCGTTGTGAGCTATTGCCATCCCAAGCCAATTTATCAACTCATCATCAGTACAATACTCTAATAATAACCTATCGTAAGCCGGATTTAGTATGTGAAATGGAAGCTCAGGTGCTCTTATTGTTAAAAGATATAGAAACTGAAACTGATATGGGAGAATTATTACAAGGACTATTAAAACAATAAACAATAGTAAAATGTTGAATTCTGTGCAGATTTACTAGAAAAACATAAAAAAAATTGTACAAACCTTAAACTTAATTACTAGACTTTATCTGGTCGTTTATATAATTTATCCACTAAGCCTGACGTTAAAAAACCACTATAATCGAATGAAGGCAATTCTAAGGGAGCAAGTGACGGCATGTCATCTTCATTCTGCGAATGCTCCTCAAACAAACTTGAATTTCGTTTATTATCTTTGCAATCGCACTTTTTATCCTTATCGACAACTCCACCATTCAAATACAACTGAGAACTATGATGATCGTGACTTTGCAATTGTACACGATGCATGCTTTCAAAATCCTTTATAGTTTTATCTATGGACCTGGCTATCATTTGAGCGTTGTTTATTATCGTTACTTCGGCCGATTTTCCGCTTAAATTATTTTCTATTGGCGAAGGTACGATTTCTTTAACTTTTATTCTTTCATATTGCTGTTTACGCATTGAAATCTGATGTAATTTTCTTTCGTAATCCCATTTTTGCGTGTTTAAGACTTCCAAAGATTTAGAAATTCTTGCATTTTTATAGGCATCTTGTAGGTAATACAGCGATGTCTCTATGGCCTTATAGGCTTCATCAAAGTCGTGACGTTTTAGCAATTTCTCTGCTCTTCTCTCATGGAAATGAGCCTAAAAAAGCAGTTTTATAATAATGTTTAATATGACACAAATTTCTCCGTCTTACCAAATTTAAAGGAGCACAATTCATATTTCACCGGACTTGCCTACAATACCATCTTTTCTCATAAGTACTTCTTAATGTTGTGTTTACGTAAAATACTTGATTCTATGTTTACGCGAGTTTATAAAGCAGTGTTGCCAATCTAAAAATAAACGTGAACTGCATTTATTTTTTAGTTCTTGTGGATTGATATGATCAACGCTTAGTTAATGATATCCATATGGTACACATGGTTTATAAATACCAATGTGTAAAGTCAAAAAATATAAACAAGACAGAAAAGTATAGTGATTGTAAGGAAAAATTAGTGCAAATGAATTCATTACGGTTTAGGTTACCTCAATAAGTTAAAAGAAAAAAAAAGAAATCATATTAGAAGACGGACTTATATTGAGTTCTAACAAAACGAGAGGCAACTGTAGATACACAGATAGACATTTATGCAACTTTTTTAATATTTTGTCTGCTTTCCAGGCCTTGGTGATTTTACGGAGTTAGTAAATCACAATTTTTTATATAAACGAACAAACATAATATGTTCATATTTTGGAATAATTATTGAAAACATCTTAAAGTTTTTAAACCAATGCTTATTTTTGTAAAATTTGATTAGATGGTGTGTTTTTTTTTATTTGTTTGTTTACATAGAAAGATATATGGCTTGAAAAGCTCAGTAAAAGCCCTACGATTATGTTTACAACTAAGCCGGCAATATTGTTCAACTTTGCAGCAGACCTCTTTGCCTTCGGACGAGTTAAGTTGTTTTATACGCAAGCGTATGTAAACGATTCGCGTTATCAAAAAAAAAAAACGCGTGGTTTTAATTCGTTACCATCATATTAATTGTATGTCAATCCTTAGGAACCAAGAACAAATCTTTCATCAATGCGAATTATAAAGAATTTAAAGCATTGCATTTTTCACAATTTATTTTAACAATTGTTAAGCTCACGAGGACCGGCTTGAACAATAAATTAACGATTGTCGGTTGATTAAATGGACATTGTCTTCTGGCAGGAGAACGGTTTTTGATATTTAATCGAAGAGTATCATCAAAGGATAATATAATAAAATAGAAAGTAGTAAAAATCCATTATAAATCTATTAACACTAAAAAATATTATCAAATTGAAGCTTATTCACAATAACGGACTTTTTTTGCAACATATCAGATTCAAAAGGGAACATACCGAAAAGTTATACAATCGTTTGATAAAATTCGCAATTTTATTAAATTAAATTTTATTTCTAGAAAGTACATTACAAGGATTTTGTTCGACGTCAAGACTGTTTTCAAATCCTTTTGACGCGTTGATTCTTCAAACTTGAATGCCTCTTTGGGTTAGCTTAGCTCACACTCCGTAACAATTAGTGCAGTTTGTCCTCAACGGTCGTGTTTTCAAGCTGAATATTCCATATTTGCTGCGACTCTTTTTTTTTGTATCGAAATTAGTACCTCTCGCAACAAACTTGCCAAACAACTCGTTAGTGTAAATCTTCTTCCATATGCTAATATAAAAACCTTAAGATATAAAGACATTCCCTGGAAAAACAAAGTCAAATGTTTAGATGTATCATTAGATTTAAATCTTACCTTTAAGTATACCATTAATTACATCATCATGCTACTAAAAATGCTTTGTAGCCTTGATTAGCAGAGATTCCAATTTAAGCACAGATAGTTAACAAAACTGATCATATGATCATATGATATGTCCAATCATTCAGGAAATGTGTCCTATTCGCGTAACCCGTTGAGGGGCAGAATTCTTTGTGAACGTCAGCAAGGAGAAAGAAAGAAACTGAGAGGTGCTGGACTCAGTCTACGGGATTTGGTCCCAATCGATAAGTATTATGTCTTTACCAACTGAGCAGTCACTATAACTGAGACTCAAGAATAGTCTATCTCACTGAGATTTAAATCCTTGAACGCCCACTTCATAGTCGCGATTCTTCTACACATTCATCTACCAATGCTGATGAAAAAATCGATGGAATTGCTTCTAACGTCAATATCTGAATCTGAAATGGCTCAAAGTGGAGATATGGGGGAGAAATTATAGATAAGAAATACTTTTCCAAAACTATTACAACATGAAAAAGTTAGATGGAGCTTGTAAGAAATTTCTTGTCGTTGAAGTTCAACTGTTACATCCATAAATGTGATATGTGATTCAATGCGATTTCTAACAGTCAATTTTCCAGTTTAACAGGTACCTTACCTTTGCGACGATTTCGACTTCGAACTTGCGGCACAGGGCACATTAAGCTTGCGCGGATGTATGTAACACACAGGTGCGCTTAAAATAAGGCCACATTTCATTATTATTATGAAATGATTCTGAATCGGCCTAAGCCTGTCTGTCCGTGCATGTAAATTAATGCGTTCAAGCAATTTCCAAGATATTTTGACGTGTTTTGACTTAAGAACGAAAGCAATTAAAAATGAATTGAATCAGTCCGGGAAAAATTTGTAAGTTTCAAAATTCCTCGACAAAAATGTAGCAGAAACTAAAGTGATGATGACAAAAAGGTCTAATTTTCACTGTTTTATGATGAAAATCCGATCACAACAGCAATTTAAGATAAAAAAATTAACTGCAGCAAATTTGGACCATCTGGATCTATATTTCGGATCCTACCATGTACATATATTTTCAAGAAAATTGATGAAACTAACCTGTAATACGAATCCGAGCCTATTTTTGGATCCTTTTCCAATATAAGAATTTATTGGGAAATTTTTATTTTTTAAGGCAGAAAAGTGCAAATTTTAATATGTTCTAATGAAAGTTGATCTATAATAGTAGTTTGATACAAAAATTAACTATGCTGAATTTTGAATATGTACCACAATTTTTGAACGTCTTCATCAGCACAATCAGACTTACGAAAACTAGGCTTTTATTTGCAAAGATATCCTAATTTTTAATGTACAGTTCCGTAATAGAAAGTTCATATCAAAACAGGGTACAATTTTGTGTTCTATAGCAAAAATAAGAATTATGTTAGACGATGTGATACAAGGTATTTAATAATGAACAATCGCAAAGGAATCCCAATTTTAAAAACGACATCATATTTGGTATTCTATCATATGGGAAAATGTCGTCAATTTTGATTATGACAGATTTCACAATACACGTGGGCGCCTGATAGCATAACCTGATACAAAATACTACGGAGACTCTCCAAAGGAAAAAAAGGGAGATGGTTTAATAAAAACCCCGAAAAGTAAACAAAAAAAAAAGGGCAAACCATCATTCTGTGGTGATCCAGGTTTCGCGCAGTGTACGTCCTTTCGGCTAATCTTGGCGTTTTTAACATTAATTTGCTACGCGCAGCATCGAGGAAATAATATGTAGATACTTACCACGATTCGGAGAGGAATCTATTTTTAATTCTCGAGTGAAGGATATATATAATTCTCATTTAGCCAAAATATTGAAAGAATAGATCCAAGGTTAGCTAATTTTTTTCGTTAGTTAAAAGAACATTTTATTATTTATTATTTGATTGTACATTGTGTGAATCACAAAAACTGTTATTAAATTAAATATATTATGAACATTAAATGCAATCATACTAGGTTTACTAAACTCTTATAATTAATGAAAAAATAAAATGGTGAGAGTGCAATAAATATATGAATACAATAAATATACGAAAATTGATACTGCATAGCCATTAAACAAATTGAGGTGTGTTGTATTGCGATTGTAAGACAGGATTCGTACGCAACATGTAAGATATTTTGGGGAGAGATGATATATTGGCTTCACCGATTGGCATGGGACTGCACGCTTCCTAATTTTACAATTTATTATTATATTAATAATAAAATGATAAATCGCTTTTTTTTTGCAAGAGCACAACAATTAAATTTATGCGCATGTAAATAACACCCACAAAGGCTTGAGGTGCGCTCGTTTTAATGTCTTGTGTCATTTAACTTTACAGATTGCAATTTTGAGGCATTTGAACGAAATTTGGTACTGTGACCTGCTTTGACCCAAGGACGAAACGCCATCGAAAACGGTTCGGATCGTATCGCTTTTTCGACCACTCCCTATACGACGCCCCACTCTGAAATAAATTGCAATTTTCTCTCCTCTCAGATAAGCATTCCTACGGCAACTAAATGTTTATATGGTAAAAATGTCCAATCATCAAACTGTCATAGTAAAAATTGTATTAAAGTATTGCAAATTAGACCTTTTAATCAGTTTTTGTAGGAACGCTTATAAGAGAGGAGCTTCGAAAAATTGTCGTAACTGAACCAAATTTTTCACACGAACTGGAAGTATGTCGCGATTACTCACCGACTTTTGTCGTGAAATTTTGACAAATTCTAGTTTTCAGTTTTTTATGCGAAGTGGTCTAGAAAGTGGAGTGATCCGAACCACTTTCAATAGCATTCGTCCTTCGGTCAAAGTACGTCAGTGTACCAAATTTCATCAATAACACAAAGATCAGGCTTAAATCAATTCAAAAAGTGCTTCTAAACCGATGGATATAATGCAAGGTGGGTGTATCTTACGGCCATCTGAGTATTACTTGTGTCCGCATGAACTTAATATACCCTATAACACAAGTTATGAAATTTGATATACCTATGACGTGTTTTAGATGAAGGACAAACGTTATTGAAAATGGCTTGGGTAGGACCCATATTGAAAAATTGTATAACGTCCGCGTACATAGGTGTAGAGTAGAGGGTTCCTGTCGTTCCTTTCGTTCTTCACAAGAGAACAATATTTTATATAATAACGGAATTCCGTTAATAGGTCTTTCTTTTCATAATTCCTCATGTATAACAGATGAGATTAAGGAGAGTAATCATGAAAAGAGAAAAGTCAAAGTCCGTCTGTATAACAAAAGAGTGAATTTTGTGCAATGTTATTTATACTGACTAAGGCAATCACAAACATTGAGAGACAGATCAGACAGCGAGAGAGTTCATTAGAGTCATTCGTTAAAAGCAGAAAAAGAAATATGAGTAGGATAAGAGAGCCGTTGAACAGCAGTCGTGGAGTGAATTTCAGTACAGAAAGTCGTTCGTTCAAAGTCAAAAGGAAACAGTAAAGTACAGATCGTCATGCAAATCATTCAGTAAGAAAAAGAATAGAAAATTCGTGCACAACAAATTGTTAACGATATTATATTTAAACAAGTTAAAGCTTCAGTTTAAGTACGACATAGGTAAATCGCATTTATTAAGCAATATTGCTTTATTTAAGATGAAGATGCCGATTTCAAATTTGGTATAAGTTTTTGCACGTAGGTCGATTTTGAAAATGAACCAAATTGGTTAGAGCAGAAGCCCGCATAGAGGCATAAACTCAACGCAACCCCATTTTTCTTAACAAAAGTTTTTATTTGTGAGTCAGAAATTACGAAAGTTAGAAGGCTGACCAGTTGAGTTAAATTAATTAATATTAAAACATGGTAAAAGTACAATAAAACAAATAAGAAGGGAAAAAAAAGGACCACCTCTTTCTAAAACCAAGCGCGGACCTAGCTTTGCTTAACGAGGACTCAATATGCAAATTGAAACGTAACCTATAATCGAATAGAACGCCTAAATCTATGAACGAATCGACGTCTTCCAACCTGTGCGAATCAATGAAGTATCGAGTACTGAACGATTTCCTTCTTGAGAAAAAAAGCTTCTTACATTTATTTAGATTTAGTTTCAGAAGATTGAGAGAGCACCATGCAACCAAATTGTTCAAATCACTTTGAAGATGATGAGATTGCGATTCTACGGAAAAAGGAGAAAACAGTTTCACATCATCAGCATACATTAAAATCTCACTGAATTTAATCACGGAGGGCAAATCATTGATGTATAAATTAAATAAAATAGGTCCCAAGTGGCTACCTTGAGCTACGCCAGACGTCACGAGGAATTCATCCGAGGTAATGAGGTTAAACAAAACCCTGAATGATCTACGATGCAGATAAGAGCTTAACCATTCAACTAAGAAGAGAGGAAAGCCAGAGGTCTGGAGTTTAAATCTAAGTAGTCTATGATTAACCACATCAAACGCTTTGCTAAAGTCAGCGTAAATGACATCAGTGCGAGAATCACTAGAAAAGGTCTTGAAAACATGAGAAGTAAACTCTAACAGATTGGTCACCGTAGATCTTCCCTTTCGAAAACCATGCTGGAAAGGAGAAATATACAATTTCATGGAAAGGCTATATGCTGAGCCACAATTCGCTCGAACAGTTTAGGCAAGACACTCAACTTGGCAATGCCTCTCTAGTTCTCTACAAGTTGCCTACTACCACTTTTGTTAATAGGAATAAGGAAACAAGTCTTCCAACACAAAGGGAAAACACCTGAATTCAAGGGCTTGTTAAAAATCTTCGAGATAACACCATATAACTCGACAGTGCAAGATTTAAGTACACATGGATGGAATTCCATCGGGTCCAGGCGCACAACTATATTTTAGAGAGCTCAACCCTTTAAAAACATCATCCACAGAAATAACCAAATTAGGAATTAAAACCAAGTTAGTTATAGGATATGGGTAGTTTAATGGATATTAAGATCAAAGCACGTTCGACATAAGTCGTATTCCTTTTTTATATAGATATTTTTTTATTTCTTTATTTTTTTTGGCTAGTCAGGCCTAGCGATAAAAACAGCCCCAAGTCTGTACTAAGCGCATTGGTGTAGTGTATTTAATGATGGAGCGTTGCCCACTGTGTTTTTGTTTGTTGGATTTGCAAAATCAGTCGAAATTTATTTAGGTTTTGTAATTGATAAATTGTCGCACAGATTCCTAAAAAATGTTACGCCATTAAGAGTATATTGGTTTAAAAACCATGAAAGCCTTTTCTTGCAAAATGAAGCTCCTATATAAACTTTTACTTTTTGAGTGAACCAAAGTTTGTCGGATTGGCTTATGGCACAATAAAAAGCGATCAACACAACGACATAACGTCTAACCCTAACTTGATCATAGTTCTAAGCACCTATGCTTCCAATACTTAACTAGTAGAGATATTGCCTCCTAATTTTCCTGAACGAAGTAGACGATCCATTGCTTTCATTTCTAGGATAACTAACCTAAAAAAGTTATAGCATAATTGAAGTAGAAGCTTTGGCGATTATATTTTTTTAACGAAGCTTGAAGCACAATACCTGTTAGGAAACTCATTCACCTTGGGAGAAGGTCGTAAACCATTATTAAGAGGCTGCCTTCTGTGGCGCCAGCGCGTATTTGTAAATGTTCGTTAACCCTGTGTCTGCTTTTCATTACACATGCGTAATATAGCGTCTTCAAAGGATGAGGACACTGCTCATGAGTTCTTCACAACGCCTTATATTATTTGTTCTGGAACAGCTGAATAAACAACTTGCATCAATTTTATTGAATTGAATAAATAATATTAAACAAATCAAACAAATAAACTTGTAAAGATGTCGCTCGCGAAAACGCGCGATCCAACGATTTCCATTATCTCTCTTGACATCCTTCCGAGCAAAAACAGACTTCATTAGCCGTCGAAAACGACTGCATTTTATGAGGTTATAGAGTAATCATTCTGACCATTCTGGCCGTTGGAAACCAATTTTGGATGCCCTGCATGAGCCCCGCCCTTTGAAATAGTGAGAGGCAAGTCTCCAAGCTCAGTCATATGTTCGTTGGCCAGGTCTAGACACTGAAATTGAAAACTTGCTTGCTGCATATACTTGGATTACGTTAAGAGCAACCGTATCGAGTCCTAAACGAAGCACATTAATTCCTTGGACACCAACAACCAAAGTCATCAACAACGAGTCGTATACAAATTGATTTCGCTGGACCAATAAACACACTAAGTTCTATTTTCTTTAGTGGAGCTGCCTCTTTCAAAACGTGTTGATAGAGATTTTTAAAACAATACAAATTGTTGCCTCCTCTTCTTCCTCGATAAACAAAATTATGGAGTTGTTTGCACAATACGCTTTTATAAAAACATTAGTTACTGCGACAATGGTCGAAGGTTTACCTTAACTGACCTTGATAACAGACAACTCTACGCTTGTATTGTCAAACATGTTCTAAGAGCACTAAAACTTACCACTACCAACGAAGAGACAAAACATATTATACAAGAGCTTAAGAACAAATTTCAAGAGGTTGAAATCTCCTATACACTCAAGAGTAAAATCATAGAATGCCTCTAATTACAGTGAAAACATAAAGGTGTTCAAGTCATCCGACAATTAATAATAATTTTTGTGGCACTTAATGCATTGCCAGTTAATAGTTAGTTGTTTTAAAAATCCAATATTATAATGTCGGAAAGACTTACCAATCGCACAACGAGTGCAACAGTATGGTTGAGAGGTGAAAAACGACGAACAACGAATGCATTTAGAAAAGATATATTTGTTTCATATACTTTAAAAAATAAAAATATAACTAAATAGGACATTTTATAATAACAGATAGGGTATGTGGCAACTGGACCAAAAACTTGGAAGAAAAAATTACAAGTGTAGATATTGTGTATGAATATAGACGAGGATAATAAGAATATTGAGAAGAGTGACAACAAGAACTCTACCGCCGTCAAAACCAATTATACCATTAATAACGAGGCTCGCCACAAGCGCACGATGTAGCAACTTTTCATTCTCCGCTTAAATCTTGCGTTGAAGAAGGTCTGACAGACATCAATTTGCCAGCGGTATAGCCCAGAAGCGAATTCAAACTTGGAATATTTGACTCTGAAATCCTATAAGTGCTTAGTCCAAAGATCGAAACTAAAGAACTGAGTCTTGAAAACTTGTTTGTTCATTTGTGTAGACGAGTATGCGATAGATGAGTGTAAAAAATGTTGGATTGTGAGAACCATAGTCAACAGTTCGTTTCGGCCCCACACGAAAAAAAGTTTTATTTGCTCCTCGCTGGAGATTATTTGCAAAGTTTTTGATTTAACCAATAACAAAATATTTCCCAACTCAGCCAGAAAAGCGAACATGAAATTTTCATTCTCGTTAGAAGATATTTTGTGTTCAGCAGATGAATACAAATATAGTTTCCTGAAAATGTTTTTTATTTTATTCGTATATACAATAAAATACATTAAGATGATCCTATGCGATCCCTAATGGGTGAACATAGAGGTGCCGAAACCCTCACCTTTTTGAGAGTCGCACAGTCAATGGCAAAGATGGGTTTAAGGCTTACCTATCTATAATAACCCGGCGACCGATTTTTGGTGGTCATCAATTGAACTAGACGGTTGCCGACGGTTCTAGAGGCATTGTAACGTCCCGACGACACGACATGAACCAGTCTCTTATTCTCTTTGTTTTGCATTACAGAAGGCAGCACACGCTTTGTCGTTCACCGTTTGTAAAAATAAATGAGAATCTCATTTATCGTAGCTTTCTATGCTTTCCAAAAGGACAAACAATTCCGCTGTTGCCACAAGAACTAATGTTAGAGGCGACACGACAATGCGCAGCCGCATACAACAAGCTTGCCTCGAAAAAAAATTCTTGACCTTGGATGGTCTATCTTACCACGCCCATCTTAATCTACGAACATTGCCCCCATAGACTACCAAGTTTTCTGTTCCTTACAAAACCTTTTGAATGGGAAAACCTCCAATTCTAAAAAGCAAATCAATCAAGCTGTCGAAAATTTCTTCAGGTGCAAACCAAACACATTTTACAAGAAGGAAGGATTTGATAAGCTGCCAGAAAGATCGAAGAAGACCATACATAATAGTGGCGAATACATAATACTATAATTTTGTTATTCAACGAAAGTAAAGTAAATGTCTCAGCGAAAAAAAAAAAAACGGAAGTTACTGTATACTATATACCGGCCGGCTATTTTGCTCTCTTTGGCATGTGTGGTAGGCGAAAATGTTGCCGGAAGTCATTAACCTACCCTTAAGGGAAGGCCAGAAATAGAATGAATGCTATATGGCCCATTAGCATGATGGCAGAGTATATACAGGAAAGTAAATGATCTTTTAATTTTATATATGCCATAGTAGCTAAAATTAGTAATGGTAAGCAGGTCAGAGCGAGGTGTTTCATCTTTTTGCTTACAATGGGTTTTTACTCAAACAAACACCGACCAGGAACATACTATTTGTGATGTCGTCCCGAAAGTCTGTAGGGCGAGAAATTGCTCATCACCTTTTCTATATTGTCCATCATCATGCTTTGTTCGTTTTAAAAAAGTTGCTTTAAAAAATTTCAATTAAACCGTTCATAGCTTGACTGTTTGGATTCCATGAGTTTATTGAACATTATGTTATGCGAATAAATATTTTACATGAGATAATTCTAAAATAAGCATACGCGTACCGCAAAAGGCTACACGTGTATAGTTGATTCGTAATCTTGCCTCATTAAAAAGAAAAACAACAGCACTTCAACTAACATTGTGTTGTGTCAAAATGGCTATGCAGGTTATTAACGTGTGTGTTAGGCAAGAAATACATATTTAATATTTGTGGCAATTTTTTTGCAACACGAATACCGAAGATGTCCAACTACTTGTTCTTAAAGTCTCTATACTATAAACTATGAAGGCCTGAATCTTTTTAAAATAAACAAAATTGATGATTTATAAAAGTGATGCCATCTCTCTCTCTCTTCTTCCAAACTCTTTTAAAAGAAGAAGACGCTCTTTGCTGCCCTTATATAAGGGAAATGCATTACAATGCAAACAAAAGGTGTCAATATTTCTTACATGTTTCTTTCCTCTTAAGAACTCGCTTGCCAAGATCTCCTTTTTTAAGATTCAAGCCTTTATGGTTTGAAATTATTCTACACTTAAATATGCTTACTTGAAAACTAAATGATTTCAAATTATTGATTAATGGGCAGTTTATGAGTGTGGTTGTTTTTTTGAGATGAATGTACAAAAAACTTAAGCTAAACTTATTTCTAATTATCTTTACCACTAAATTAATCAATTTACATTTAATCTACACGAATGATCTGAAAAGAATTAAAAATAAGAAATGAATAATACTTGGTATATTTTGGAAAAAGTTTAAATATAAATTTCATTTCATACTAATAAAAATGTTCGTTGTCTAATATGACAAAAAAAAAAAAAAAAGTCAAAATATTATAATTAAAAGAAGAAGGCTTACCGCAATATGATGATGAAATAGTTAAAAATGGATAAGATGCAGTTCTATAAGAGAAAAGTACATATGCATATTGATGTTAAAAATATTTGTTTATGAAAGAAAAAAAAAACAAAAAAAAACAAAAAAAAACAAAAATAAATCCATAAAAATAATTTAATAATCAGTTTTTCCAGTTTTTAATCAATGCAAATTCGTTAGTCTAACATATCATTTAACAGCATCATTTTAGGTAAAAAAAAAAAAAAAAAAATAGATTTTGTATACCCACCACAAACAAACCACCTTAAAAATCGTATTCGTTAAATTAGCAACTATAAGAGATGCCGCCACCTGCTTTCCAAAAACTTCCTTTTTCTTGCCTAAGCAACGTGAATTTTTTTAGATAAGCTCTGAGCTTGGAGACAAGCTTAAAACAAAAAGCAAAAACTACCCGGCTGTTGTCCAATTGAACTGCTATTTTTCCAGATATATAGACATTCAACACGCAATTTAGCGTAACTAAGAATTTACAGTCCAATAGTGTTTGTTTCGACCTTAACTTTGGATGAAGTTGAGTTAATAAATAAAAATTCTGAAACAAGCTGACGAAAATCGAGAATGTATGTACAGGTAACCTGAACTACTGTGGAGTGTTGTGGTGGGTATTTAATGAAAATGAAAAACACTTACGTTAAATTATATATTTTCATTCAAAACGCCTCGGTCCTGATAGAAAGTGCGCAACTTTCTCATTATTACCAATAATATCTGCAAAATAAAAAGTGGGAAAATTAAATATGTTCGCCTCTCTGGCCCATAATCTCTTTTCTATACTCATCACATTTATTTAAAAAATAAAGCAGAACTTTTGTTACTCTGCTATATTGCATAAAAGTTACGTGGCTTTTTTTTTACAGTCACTATGAAATCATCCACAGAATATTACATGTACATGTTCATCGTTGTACTAGCGTAACGAGTCGCATAAACGCAAACTTACATTTTACTGTAACGTGTGTATAAGGATTTCCAGTCTTTTTATCAAATGTGACGCCTTAATTATTATGACTAGGAGAATGTGTACGATAAAGAGGCACACAGGCTGGCCGACGGACAGGCGAAGGATTAACGTTTTGACAAAATTGCTCAACTTCTCGATGATGGGTATAAAAAACATAGGGCACAACACATATCTTTAAATGGAGAGTATTTGATGAGCTTACCTTAAGTTCGAGTTGGCTACGTATCGTTATTACCATCTACAAGACGAAAAGAAAAAAGATTAATAACTTTTTGCTCCTATAGAAATTAAAAAAAAAGTGAGGCTTATATAACTAGTCAGTTTCACTTAACATTTACACTAATCACAACTCAATCATAGGTGTCCCAAGGTAAAATAAGAAGTCATCATGTTTTTTATTATTATCGAACAATTAGTAGGTCAAACTAACCTTAAAATGCATAGCGGGTGCGTATATCTTCAAGTTTCTTGCACACCTGATTCGGTGTGCGGAACATATCGGCTGCTATGCTTTTCTGTTTTGTGGGGTCTATTGACAAATACTGTTCGCAAAGATCGCCATCAATGATGTTCTTTACTGTATAATAAGCGCTACGATAGCTCAGATGATCACGACCACAAAGGGGTGGATTTTCATTACGCATATGCATTTCCAGATGCTGGAAAAAATCAAAGTCCTCTCGGCTGGTGAAAGGTACAAAAGCTCCTACCGTACCGCTGAGCGTGGTATAAATTAAAGATTCCGAACCGCCCGGTATAAGAGTGGCCTTTTGCAGCGACATAATAACTTCACCCACGTGAAATGAGCATATGTTCTCGGATTTCTGGGAAGCTCCTGACAAAAGACCACGATCCCATAAGCTTTTAGTTCCAGTGGGATCTTCGTCAACATCGTCGGTTACAGAATGTGGCAAACGTTGTATACTCATGTTGCCAAATTTATCGCCAATAGCTATGGAATCATAATCTAACAGAGTGGTAGCTGTAATCCAACGTGGATGAGTGTCATCGGCAAAAATAATCAATTGATTTTCCGCTCGTTTGTACCGTATAAAGAATACAGATTCCTGCACGTCCGAAACGTACACACGATGACCCATCGACATTATATTAACAATCTGATAGGGAATATGTTTATTTTCACATTTTCGTAACAATTTCTTCTTTCCCAAATCGTAAATGCGTAGGACACGACCACAACCAGCCAATAAGCGTCCGTGAAAACTGCACAACGCGCCAGGCACCTCTTCTAATTCAGTACGATGCACGAATTCTAACTGCGAACAGGTGGGATCAATTTTGTAAATATCAATAAACCCGCCATTCGTAATGCGTGGGTTAAGCATTAATTCTTTGGCTATTCCAACCGCTAAGTAATAACGGCCGTCAGACGTTATAGAGAATTTGAGTACAGCCATAGACATAATGGCTTCATTTTGGCTTAAAGGTACTTTGAACAAAGTCTGACCCTGGATGGGATCTATAGCACGTATTTGAGACGCCCACAAGCCCACGCCGGCCTTCGGGGCGGAGAACACGTCCTCCGGTAAAACTTCATTGATGAATGCACTAGCCATCTCATTGGCGAGCTCACGCTCCTCTTCGCCCGCAGCCATACGCATTTCCTCTGCCATTTGTTGCTTACGAGCATTTTTTGTTTCCTCGGTATAGGCGTTATGGTCCGTTTCAGCTATAATTATGCGACCCGTATCGGGATGTATTACGAATGTACGGGGTGTATAATCGAGAGCGAAAGACACTTGATTAAAAACCGCTCCCAGTTTTTCTAATGCCAAAATACGCAACGTATTCGTTGATATTGCTACAATACCCTCATTACATTGTTCGCTTGAAAAGCCTGAAGCATATTCCAACGTCTCATAGGATAAAGGAGTTAGATGAAAACGATTTTGGTAATAATAAGAGAGCCACGTACGGCTTGACATAGCCAACACCGCTTCAGCAGCTTGCATTTTTATACGAAATAGTTTGACAGGCCGAGAACCCAAATACCGCGTACGAGTATCAGCTAGATCACCCGATACAGGATCCAATACAGTGCGTAGCAAAACCCCATTGCTCAAGCCAATGTTTAGGTAAATCGTACCTTTTGAGACGTTCGTCCTTTCACCAACCTCTTCATTGGCATTTTGCCCACCACCACTAACGCTACTATCAGTTTGACCCATCTCAACCAGACACAACGATTCAGCAGGGGAGGGCAACGCTTGCATTGAACAGGGCGACAAGCAATCATTGGGATCCAAAGAAATAATACGCACAGTATTATCTGCCAAGCCAACAGCCAAAAACCATGAACGTTGTTCACCTTCGGGCACGGTGCCCAGAGCCATGCACATAATTTCGGCAGGCATTTCCGAACGTTCTGTATACTCATTGAGTTCACCCGTCTAAAATAAGAAAAAACACCGCGCGTTTAAGTTATCGTTGAGTTAAAAAAAAAAACAATAAATTTGACATGAAAAAATAGTTCAGCACTGCAGGACACAAAGTTCCGTAAAACATGATCATTCTTCGCTAATGTTAGTCATCATTAGAAACTTAAGGATAATTTATTAAATTAATGAAATAAAGTGCTACTCGTACATAATACGTACCGCGTCCATTTCAAAATAAACCAACTCTCGGCCAGACAGGGTGATAACAACTTGACGTTGATTCACAGCACATTTAGTAATAGATTTTTTACCAGGCGCTCGCCACTCGTTTACACGTTTATCTGAACGTATATGACGTATGCCGTCTGGGTACACTTGAACCAAGGCATCCTCACCCAAAGAGGCACAACACAGAGTCGGTGTGGTGCCAAGAAAGCCGCTATCCGTCACTTCTTCAACCGTCTCACCGATACTTAAAACCAAAGTAGCATTTACGAATGAAACAATTATATACGCGTCGTATTCATCTAAATGAAGGAAACAAAAAATAATAATAATATAATTATAACTATATACAACACACGTTGCGATAGAACACTGTTCTATGGGATGGATATTTCACTTGTTTCACTTGCAGTCAGCTTATTAAAGTCTTTCATCAAATTAATTCAGATGAAACACGGAGTATAAAATTACTCAACATCATGTGCAAGTGAAAAATTTGAATATATTTGATAAATAAATTCGTATATATATTGTATATAAATTCGGTGTTTGTAGTGTCTGTTGCTTTTATTAATTGCTTTCATAAAAGCATTGCCTTACCTATAACATGATGGACTGGGATTTTTTAGAACAATTTTTTTACTTTTTCATAAGAACGGGAAACAGTAGTAGAAAGTGTGTGAGTGTATGAAGGCAGAGTAGTGGAAACAGTACACTCTTGTGCGTGTTTTTCTAATTTGAACACAGAAACCATACCGTTCGCAACGGTCACGTGCACACACACAAGAGTATCAATAGCCTGAAATATATAAAAAAGAACTGGTGTTTGATTTTGTTTTGTGCTGTTTTTAAAATCACACAGAATAGCGAATCCCCCTACTTAGATGCAACAATATAATAAATTAAATAGAAAAAACACCAGTTGCTTCTTTCGTTATCAATATCTTTCTGACATTGTATAAACCACAAATATAGATATAAATATATAAACGAATTGAAGTCAACGATTAAATCATAACTCAATCCATTTGCATTTTAAGAAGTATATAAACTTATTAAAAAAAATAATAAATAAATAAAAAGCTCACCATCGATCCTCTTCTTTACAGTCCAGACAGCGTTGGGATTACCAGGCAATTCAGAAACGGCCATTTCGGAAACTTCCAATCCATGACGTAGTACACGCATTGAAGATCTAGGCCCGCGACCACACAACACATAGACCTGCGGAGTATCTTCATTAGCGAGGTCAGCCACTTGCGAGGTGATAATAGGAGCAAACGATGGCATTTCATCCACTATCACTAAATTTTTTAAAGGTCTAGGAGCAAAAAAGAAAGTTTCACCCTCCTCAAGCGGCATGGCTGAACTAAATTCCGGTTCGTCATCATCATCCCCGAGATGGGCTATCTGATACAAATAATGATTACCAAATTCACAGGCCACAAATAGAAAGCCAGTCTTCAGAACGCACATGGACACAGCCGGTGGTACAGTGTCAAAGTATTTCAATTTGATTTCAGATACAACGTCATCATCCGTTTCAAGGGTGACCTTAAAAATGTCACCCTGTTCGGTTTGCACCAAAAAGAAATACATACTTTTAGTCCGGTGGGTAGCTGAACATATAAAAATCATGCCACGTTCAGGATCATCTAGATCATTGCGACGTCTCGGTATTGGGCAACGTATATCGTGTTGGTCGCCCAAATTTTTATAAGTTAAATAATTTTCAGAACAAATTAGAACGCCGGACGGCCCATCATTACCCCCCGGCACAGATATAAGAAAATTCGCATGTTCTTCTAATGGCTCAGAATACTTTCGCACCACATGATTTAAGCCTAAATCCAGCTCGTAAAATGTCAAAGTTTGTTGAGTGCGTTCGGCTGCTTCACCTGTTATCATAATATAAATTCAGTGCATTATTAATAAAATAAAATTACATTTTATAAACATAATTAATTTAGTTTTAAGAAAAATCAAATTTCCTACTTATTTGATCTACTGACGATTTAATTCTTTCATTTCCGCGATAATTAGCCAAGATCGATATTAAAAAATGATTTTTTCTGCTCCTCCTCTGGACTGCTTTTTTTTTTTTTTTTTCTTTATATCCGTGAATTTAAACTCGAGCAATACGATATTATTAATAATAACAGTAATAATTGGTCAATGAGTGTAGTTTTACAATTTGTAAGCAACGCATCAGTGAAGTATTTGCAAAATAAACTCTTAAACAAATACCAATGGTTCAAGTTACTTTGTACAGTTTTTTATAGCACTTGGTAAAGGCCAATAATTAATGGTAATTTTTCTCAATTACTGGCATGTCTAACAAGTGCCAAGAATTATTCCGTATTAACTAAACCAACACCCGATTCGATTTATGTATGACCCTCAACTCGAAAAGTCCCCAAATAAGGAAAAAGCAGGTTGTGAAGAGTAAATAAATTTTATACGAATGCAACAGACACCAAGGAGGTATCTGTTCACAGGAAGATATTAGTTAGTAATGTTATTACCAACGCTTAAAGAATACACAAAAAAATGAGGAATATATGAATGCGTTCTAACCATATATAACTTTGTTAATAGCAGAAAAATGTAAAATCAAAAGCACGAGAAACCATTTTGAGAACAATTCTGCTTCTTCTTCTCACGATTCATCAGTGATATTACTTGGGATGGAAGCTTTTTACTTGCCCATCACTTCCCTGTGTTTGCGTGCGTGTGTGTTGTAGTTTGACGTAGTTGAACTAAACCTGCCGTTTCTAAACCTATGCCATTTTGCTTATGAATATCTATCCTATCGTGCATTTTGTGTTACTAGCTATTATCGCGTTTGTTATATGACGGCATGTTTGATTAGATATTAGCAGTCAAAAATTATTAATGATGTATTGAACTATTGAACTCTGGAACCCTTAACAATTTTCGCCCAGGACGTGTCATAATCTTTCTTTCCATTTCTGATGAAAAGCTTTAGTTTTCTTATATCTATTTCAAAAAAAAATCTCCTTTTCTCACCTAGACAACGGCAGAGAATCGGGACGACAGATCTTGCCATTAATAAATGATCTACATAATCAAGATTCGTATGAATTTTTTAATCAATCGGCAAGAGAAAAATTCAAAATATTTGAAAGCTGCGAAGATGGGGAACTTTCTAATACGACAAAGTTTGTGAACTTCTAGAATAACCTATAAATTGAGTCATTAAATTTAAGAATTGGCTTAAAATTTGAGGCTATATCGCGCCGACCACGTTGCACACATTACGAATATTAACCGATAATTTTAACAACGCCCGTTCAGCTCACCTTTCGCCGAAATAAATTCGTAGTTTTCAAACGCATTTGCTCACTTATAGACTATATGAAGTAAATCTTACCTGTGGGATCGTTATCAGCTTCCTCATAATCGATTTCTAAGCAAGCGAACATAGGGTTATCGAAACCGACATCAACTCCGACCATATGGTAGGTGAATGTGTTGGACTTGTGAGCTTCCAAAGGTGATGATATAGTTAATCTAGCCTGAGCATCACGGTTCAGTATGTAAGCTAATTTTTGCTTCTCTACAGCACCTATCATAACAGCGCGACCTTTAGGATCTATAGCCAAATATTGGCCAGGAACGATGCGGCGGCATCCGGATTTACCAAAAGTCTCCTGGTGAACTCTTTCCAAACTATTTTTAATAGGATTATATTCCAAAATCACTATACGGCCCGAATCCGAGCCAACAACAATGTAATCTACAATAAACAGTAACAGCTATCAGTTACGAAGTTTTTTTTATATAATGTATTAAGAATATCTTAAGAAAGAATTGTGTCTCAAGAGTTTCAATTCAATATGATACCAAAAACTCATATCAAATGCGACGCCAAGACTTTTTTTATCTGGCACTAATCTGTTTCCTATTTTATATAGGATCAATGAATTTCTTCGAAATTTTAAGAAATTCATTCGTGATTTGGTGCTTTTTACTTTAATGGACAATTTGTAGTTACCTTTGTTACCGCCAGTTAGACGGAACGCCATCAAAGAACGTACGCAACCAAATACCTCAGTCGAAAGCAAAGTGTGAACTTTCCCGGTATTCGAATCGGGCCTAACCAATTCTAAGGATTTGCCACGTGATATCAGTACTTCTTGTTGCTTGCTACCGGAAAAATTGCCATGCACTGCATGTGTAATGCCGGTAGCCTTTTGTAAAGTCAAATTATATAAATACATGATGGTTAACCAAGGCTATAAAAATATAGTAATATAAATTGGAAAAATTAATTTAACTCGCAAAGTTTAGATTGGTGTACTGCTCTTATAATTCCATGGTGGCAGTTACGAATTTAAGTGCCACCAAACGATGCAAATGAGCAGTTATTAATATGGCACATAAAAAATGCGACCAAAGTGAAGATATTTCTAATAACTCTGGAGATACGAATGTGCCTTAATTTTTTTAGCAAAATATCCTCATAAAAGTTTTAATAAATTCTTTAATTTTACCTTTTCTTAAATAATTTTACTAAAACAACTTTAATTATCTCGGATGTCTGTCGATTAGCCGACGTCCAGAGAAAATTACTTGATGACGACAATCAGCGTCATTTCGCGTTAAAACTTCTCTAATGCAAACGCTTTGCAAGCCGGATTAAAAATGGAAAGATTGAATGCTCCGACGTATAATGTAAACTTTTTTTTCTTCTAAACACAGCCAACTTCAGCTATCATACGAAGCACAGCCAATTACTTAAAAAATTTAGACTTTTTTGACTTGCAACCCTTTGTTACTATGGGTATCGCCTGGAGATTTTTATTTAAAAGAAAAGAGGTAATCATATATCCGCTTTTTTCGTTTTAACCATTACAAATAAGTAATATTCTGAAAATAGTATGAAATCGACTTTTTAGTTTTGTGTAATAATCTTTTCATTATAATCGATTTTTTTTAAAACAAATAATAATATAAAGGGTAAGCACAACTGCGTCTTCTGTACTTGAGTGAGCCTCAGAAGCTTCTTAAGTAATTCTCGATCTGATAATTGTCATCTAAATGAGTCCATCCGTCCGTTTTAGTATTTTCTCTGGATTGTATGGCTACCTCATAGTTGTATTTTAAGGGCATAGTTGCAAACTAGCTGATGTTTTGCAAAAAATACAGCCACCTTAGCACACGTTTGTATCGTTTATAATTTTGTTCAATGCCTTTTGTTATTGAGTAGAAAAATTTGGCATTTATTGTACGTATGTATTTTAACGTCTGTGACATTTTTAGAACGGAGATGTACAACGCTGTGTTAATTATACATATCGCACATAATTTCATCTCGAAAAATGGCGCCGCCGCCTGCTAAAAGACGGAAAGTGCAAATCCAGTATAGAGATAATAAGAGAAAAAAACCTTATAAGGCTCATAAGAAGCAATTTTTAGAATCCGGTCAACGCGGATTTCTAGCTACTTGTAATAGCAACGAGTGGGATTGCGTTAAGGAATGTTATAATATATTAAATCAATATGCTGATGTATTGTATGGGGCTGACGAAGGTGAGATCAAGCCGAATGGTAAAAAGGATGAGAAGGGACATGATAGCAATGCAGTTATTGAAGAAGAGGGTAGCACGGACGACGGCAATGATATCGCGGACGATTTGCAAAAACAGATCAAAGCTACTAAGGAAAAAGTCAAGAGGCGTTTCCAAGTTGTTGAAACCGGAGTGTCTAATTGCGTTTTTATCAAAACCGTTTTAGAAAATCCTGTACCTTTAGCCATACATATTATTGAAGATATCGCAAAAACTAAAAAGCAAGCGTCCCGCTATCTTACACGCTTGATACCTGTACAAGCCGTTTGCTCTGTCAGTAAGGAAGGTATTGTTAAAGCCGCGGCGCGAATTTGTGATAAATATTTCCAAACGGAGCCAACCACATTTTCTATAGTGTACAATAAAAGCTACAAGCATAATATCGATAGAGAAAACCTAATAAAAGAGTTGGCCACTTTGATTCATGCCAAAAATGCAGACCACAAAGTAGATTTAAAACATCCGAAGAAAACGTTTTTCATACAACTTCTCAAGAACTTGTGTTGCTTATCAATAGTGGATAATTATGTGAGATATAAAAAATATAATTTAATAGAATTGGCTCGCGCTGAAGAATGTCCGGACAATACCGATACAGAAGTGAAAGATGATAAAGAAGCTGCGAATGACGGCGAGGTTGTTGAAGCTAAAAATGCCGAAAAAGTGGAGGAGAAAATCGTATATAAGGACAAAAAGAGATTAGCCGAGACGGAAGGCAGTAATGCGAAAAAGGCCATAAAAATTGCTGCAGATAGTTAGGATTATATTAAAGCCTAAGAAATGTACTATTGAGTCTGGGATTAAAAAATGTTGTAATAAAGAAAAGATTTTTTCTTATATATATATATATATATATATATATATATATAAAATATAATTTTTAATTCGCTACTACAGTTTACAGAAGTGATTGGCAAGTTTATATAGGAATGTCTTAAAAATTATAAAATATCTTAATTACCGACAAATGCTAAAATGAATTAAATGGTTGTAAGAACTTAAGAGCAACATATCCAAACATTCCATTACCGCAACCTTATCTACTATGACTAATGGGGTTGGCTTTGTTTTCTGCGATCAGTGCGCAAGCTACTGTTTTTTATTTAGTAACTTTAGCGGGTGTTTTCTTAAATAGCAAACCGACTGAGTTGTTAATCTTCTCGTACGCCATAAACATAAGCGCAGCAGTTAGAACTGTTTGCAGAATTTTCGCTTCCATGCCTCGAAAGAGGCCTTTAATACCCTGATTTCTTATTATCTGCATTACCATATGCAACATGCCGGTGTCATTACGACGTGCGCACTTGGCCTGCTGAGATGTGGACGCGTCGTTATTTGTCGAGGTTTGATTTGTGCGATGGCGTTGTTTAGTTTGTACTAATTGTAACGGATAAGTGAGGATAGTGGCAAAGGCTTTGGCCAAAGCTCCGATTAAAAAGAATCCTAAGCTTGAAATTTCACCTTTATTTAATTTCAAGGCGTTGCGCTTTAACAATTCGTACATCATAAATTGTAGAGCTGGATTGCTAACCAAAATCAAAGAAGGCGCAGTACCAGACCATAAACCTCTCATGCCTTCAGTTTTCGCTACGTACCGTAGACCAGTTGGGAGGTTTTTATAATGTTTATTTACCTCGTCAGCAATGCCGGTTACATTACGCATACGCAGCCTAGTGTTAACAACCCAAAACGGTGTGGTCATAAGGACATTAATGACACCAGCAATTGAGCCCAACAGCAGATCTTTGAAAGCATTTTGATTAATCGCATTGCCTTTGCCACCAGCGGTAAGGGCTTTCAGAGTATGAAAAGCATAAAAGTAGACAAAATTTGAAATGCATAAACTTTGTAAGACAGGACCCAGGCCGCGATACAACGATAGAAAACCCTCACCCAAGACAATTTCTTTTATTACTTTAAGTGTGCTGCGCGCCTTGCCGCTTCTTTCAGGATCCTCCACTGCAAATGAGGTTAATGTAAATTAAAGACACAAATCAAGCAGAAATCTTAATCAAACTTACGCTGTAAACGAGAGCGCACGGTATCTAGGGGGTAGAAAGTTGACATAGCTAAACAACCGCCCTAAACAAATGAAACGACCCCATATCAATCATATTAATGTTTTAAATTAAGTGCTTGTGTATGTGTGTATGTATGTATGTATGTGTGTGTGTGTTTGTATGATTCTAGAACTTACAGCCGCACCGGACATGGCGTGTATCCACGATTCATAGCTAAAAACTTGATTTAGTTTAGAAGCGACCACCATTTCTCTGAATCCGAATAATGACAAAGTCTATAACCGTTTAAGCAATTAAATTTTTTTTTTCGCGAGCTGAGTCCACGCACACTTCTCTTTAATTGTGCTTTTTTGCTGTTATTATTTTTTTTGAAATTGACCCCGGAGACAGTACAGCAATAGTATACGTATGTATACATTTATGTGTATTTACATTATTACGAATTAACAAAACATTGGCATTTTATTTATTATTTTTAATTAGACTTTTGTGTCATTTCTTACGTTTTATTGTTCAAATCAATTTAATTATTTTGATGGGGCGCTAGTTTCCACACTTGCATAGTCTCGGCTAGACTTAATTTCTTTAACAATTGGCCGCGATTGCACATTTGTTTGGGTTCTTCGTTTTGTTTATAAATTCATTAACGTTTATAAATACTTGGCTTGCAATTGAATTTTTTTTTTTTCATATTTCTAGAGAAATTTCGCAAAATCGTTTCGAATAATATTAAATGTCAAGAGCGAAGAGACACACGCCGAGAGAGAGAGAGAGAGCGGAAGATTATGTTGCACTATTATAATGATAGGTATGCTAAGCTATATATAAAAATGATTCCGAAGAATTGAAGTTGTCTCAGAGTTCATTTCAAATCTAATCTAATCTGCAGGTATCAAATAAAAAGAAAAACTATTTCGTAACAAAAGAAACTTCGTAACGCCTTTTCACCATTCAACACACATTCTTCTCATACTTTAAATAAATTTTATTAAAGCGATTGTTTGCTATTTGTGATCGACAACCGTCTGCCCTTTCTCTTGTAAACCCATTGGGTGATTTCTTGGTTGGAAACTAGAAAACGAAGTGATCCACAGGCATTTTTTTTGCGCAAAAAAGGATATAACACGCTGTTTGGTTGAGTTATATGCAACATTTTGATTTGTCAAGTGATTAATTTTGCTTTTTTGTCGCTACGGTCTGTAGCACGACTGCTCTGATATATTGATGTTCTTAATTTATGGCTAACGAGCTGACTTGTAATTCGTAAAGCGTAGAAAGAAAATTCATTGTGTTACTTATAAGTCACAATTGTAGTTATACGATAGTAGTGCCTTCTGTATCTATTACGCCTTTGCGTTTAAAATTTTGAATTGTTTTTGGTAATCGCTTGTATTGGATTGGGATAATCTTTGAATACATTAATGTCCTGCTATAGTGATAGTGTGCAATTTGAACATATTTTAAGGGCTTGTCTTGAATTATGAATAAATTAAAATTAAATATTCTGCAGGGAGCGAAGTATATAATAATTAGACCATACAACAGATGCATCAAATCATTTTTAAATAAGTTCTCCCAGTTTTCGCCAAGTCATTAAAAATGTGTACGATCTGAGATTGATGCGATGGAAGATGATCAATTCTAAGCTCTCTATCTCATCGTGGCCCTTTAATGGCTTTAGGTATTGATGGTGGATTGTGGAATCAATCGTCCGACGAATTCAATTCAATCCTGCGAGACATAAAGGTTACGCTGCGCAGCTTTTAGACTCGCCACAACGGTTAATTCCTCTGATATCCTATGATGCCATGTATTTCATCTTATAGAAATGCTACAAATGCTTCTTCAGGTCCGCAGCGAAGTACGCCAAACTATGTCAATATTTCGAAAAATTTGCTCGACAAATGGGTTGATCAAAGTCGACGGGTCTTAAACAGTGCACGTAGTAAAGCATTTTCATCATATATTCTACAAACTCTCTTCAGGCTTGTAAGACGTTGTCCACTTAATGGAAGTGATAGTGTAAAATCAGCAACTTTTCATTTCATTCTTCGTTTTCGACGCGCCACTTGCTTCCGACTGAATTCACAGATGTCGCAGCGTTTTATATAACAACTACCTCCGGATACATGCTATAATATGATTTGACAGGATTACGTTACGCATAAGTTATGCAAATCCGAAGGGATCTATTTTGAAAAATGCCATAGGGTCAAGGCCACAAAAAGGCATGTTTTTAAAACATCCTAAAATTTCCCCTTTAGGCAGAAAAGAGTATCTTTTACTATAAATTTTAATTTGAAGCTTAAAATGACATCAACCTGTGGTTGTTGGTTTGTTGACTTTTGCAATATTATTTATATCGCAGCCACGAATATAATATCGACGGAATTTTACGTTATTCTGAATATAAGGTGTGTATGTGTTTGTGTACTTTAAGGTGAGGAGTCTTTCGAATTTGAATATTTAAAAAGCTGTAAATGAATCTACTTAAGATCTATACAATGAAACTTTCCTTGTTTATTTGCTGGCAGTTGTTAAACAAATTTTTATAAAAGTTGATCAATAAAACACTTATCACGACGCGGTTCAAATTTAGGTTTTTTCATGTAATTGACACCATTTTCATTGCTGCCATTAAGCACATTGTCTGCTTTACGTTTAAGACTTTCATGCTCCTCCTCAGTTAGGGTAGCAAAAACGAAATTTTTTGCTTTGGCAGTGTTGACTGAAATAGCTGCGGTTGCATCGTCCACATCACCCACATTTGCTGCACCTGGTTTGCCTTTATTAAGACCTGCTAATTTGTTAAGGGTTTCTTTGTCGCGCACTAAAAATGAGCCCCGTGCTGCTTTTCTGTTCATTGTGATAAGATTGACGCCCTTTGAGATGAGGAAAGGTGATGATGTTTTGGCATTTGGTTCTGCATAGGCACTGCTCTTCTTAGCATTGATTACTTGCAACTTTTTACTGTGGGGGCTAACAGTTACAATTGCTGGCAAGTTGGGTTTGGCAAGATTTGTGCTCGCATCTTGGGAATCAAGTTTAAGATCCTTGTCCTTCAGAAACTGCTCACGCTCGTAGCGAATTTTACGCCATTCATGCTCATTAGGGTCATCGCAATTGTCTTCATTATCGTCAGGTTTTATTTCGGCACGTTGTAACTCTTCCAAAGTGAAACCGTTCTCCGCGTTTCGCCATTTGAATTGACGTTGACGGCCCACACCGTCATTTTCTTCATCCTCCAAAAACATTTCCTGAAATTTTCGCACTTTTTTTATGTCTTCATCCAACATTTTGCGGCTACATATTAAAAAATAAAGCATAATTGTACTTTCTTGTAAAATTATTCGTGGCGTGGACTTACGCATGAATTTTCCCCAATTCCTCACGCAGTTTGTCCTTATCGAATTCATCTTCATCCCCTAGTTCTATGTCGTATTTATCCAAATCGTTTTCTTCATCTTCGTCAGCACTGCCCCAATCTGATTCTGAAAGCTCCGCCTCATTTTCAAAGAACTGTTCGGCTTCTTGAACACGTTCCTCTTTAGTTAGATGTACTAAAATTTCGTTCTCTTCGGAGTCATAGTCTATAAAAGCTTCAGGCTCAGTACCGTCAATTTCCTCTAAATCGCTTCCCTGATCTTCGGTAATTTCCTCCTCTTCTTCATCATCCGAAAAGCCCAATTTGGCCTTCTTTTTATTAATTCTCTTTGTTAATTTTTTCTTTCTAGACTTCCCCCTCGAAAGTTTTAATGTTTGTTCTTCTTCGTCGTCATTGTCTTCATCACTTGATAAGATATTATTGCACACAGTTTTATGAATTAATTGGCTATTATTTTCCTCATTTTGTAGCTTTTGCGTTTCAAATCCGTGATCAAATCTACCTGAGCACAATTGCAGCAGTTCGTCCTCGTTCATGTTGTCAACGTTATTTTGCACTAACGGTATTTGGCTTATTAAAGCTGACCTCGACGGTTGAGTGCTATCAAAACTGCTTGAACGTATAGTTAATAGCTCTTCTCCTTCAGTTTGAGTTCTTAACGCCAAAGGTTGAGTTTTCAGGAAATCAATATCATCTCTGTTAACTTCCAAGTCATTGTTATGCCCGCTAGAATCCGCGAAAGAATTTGCGGCATGATTTTTACGTTCGAGGCCAAAAGTTTGTTCTTCCTCTTGTATTTTATTCATTTTTCCCTCTTCAAGTTCATAAATTTGGTCTTCTTTTTCTATTTCGAGCTCTTCTATTACATTAATGTCCGCCTGAAAACATTAACTTTTAATTGTAAACTTTTTTACGTTTTATTTATCTATTTTACCAAAATTTCTTTCTCCTCCTTGCCCTCATCTTTGGAAAATTCATCAGTTTCGTCTTCTTCTTCAAAATCGCCGCAATCTTCCTCTTCAGTATCAATCGAGCTCTCCTCATATTCCATTTTCTCTTCTTCTTGCTTTTTACACAACTCTTCTAAACGTTTCTTTTTTATGATTTCTTTCAAATTTTTTTTTAATTCAAAGTAAGCGGCACCCGGTTTTGGTTCTTTTTTTATGGAGCTTTCATCCCCATTGATGTTAACGTTTACACTTGTTGCTTCCAACTTGTCATTTTCGAATGCCAAAATATTACAGCGCTCCAAAGTCTTTGCTTTATGCACCTTTACTGTGGACATTAGGCGTTGCATCAAATTCTCCACGCCGTTTGGCTGCTTTTCTATCAGATCTCCGGTCTCCAAATTAATCAGTTTGGTGGGATCACCACTGAGTGAAGGATTAAGGGGTAAATATTTCTTTTCTAATAATTCTTTAACATTGTGAAAGGTAGCCGGTTTAACTAATGACTCCAATTTAGCCGGACTTGCCTGAATAACATTCATATCTAATTTGGGCAATTCAATGACTTCAGTTATGATCACCTTTGCCGGTGATTTTCTCAATAAATTTTCATCGAATATTTCAGACAATTTTTCTTCAGATCGTTCAACAGCTGCCGGATTATCTTTTGGTATTTCTGAAATTTCTAAATCATTATTTGAAATTTCATGTGTATTGTACGCTTTCCCATCGAGGATTTCCTTCGTTGAAGATTTCGCTTGAACTTGTTTATCTAATTCTTCCTGCATTGTTGGTAATTTGTCAAATACGTCATTATTATGAACAAATTCCGATTCATTTTCGGATTCAGATTTAAAAAACTCGCAAGCCTCTTTAGCTCGTTCTTCCATCAATTTTCTTAAGTTTAAGGTAAGATTAATGCGAGTGTATACAAAAACCGTATAAACGAAAGAAAAAAGAAGAGACTTACGCATACTCCTTTAACTCCTCAGTAGTCATCTTAAGACTTTTAGCTTGCACAAGCGCTGCCACCGGACTACCTTCCTCGTTAGTTAATTGAGGTTTGACAATAGTACGTCTCTTTAGAAACTCTTCTAAAGTGCGTTTCTTTGGTTTGTGATAAGGAATGCTACGACAAGTAAGATTGGCGTAATACATGTTTGCATGAAATTGAATAAAATGTAGGAGGAAGGTTCATTAAATTATAAACAATCGTAGTATGAAATGATTTAATTCACCTTACATGCGTTTCTCTGTGCAGTCTTTGCTGTTCACTTTGTATGGCTTGCATTTCATCTAAGGCTTTTTTAGCAGAAGCCTAAGAATGTAAATGCTTTCAATTTTACGTCAAAAAATTTTTAAAAATATTCCTTACCCGCATAACGTTTTCTCTCTTATAGCTGGTTCCGGTTTTTGCGCCTTTTTTATTTTTAAATTCTGAATTGTCGGCGATGTGTATTTCAGTTTCAAAGTGATTTTTGCCAAATTCTAAAATCCGACTATCTGAATCAGAATCGCTATCGATTAAAGCAGAGTACTTTTGTTTAACGTCGTCGGAGCCACTCTTTTCAGCGTTTTCCTGGTCCCGCGACTTTTCCGTTTTATTACGTTTTTTAATGTTTTTAATATTGTACCGACTAACCTCACTATTTGAATCGTCACTGTTTAGTGGTTGATTTGTTTTTAGCGAATCTTCTTCAGTATCCTTGTCTAGTAAGAGTAATACTTTTTTCGGTAACATTTTCTGACTTTCCAATTCATTGTTTTTAAGTCCCCATTGCATTGTACTTTCCTCGTCTTCAGTGTCACTATCTATTAAGCGCATGGCTTTCTTATTAGGAACTCGTTTTAAGGCATTAATTTCACTAATGTTCTCCTCTTCTTGTTTCTTTGTTAATAATCTTTCCCGATTTTCGTTGTCTCCATCCAAAGGAGAGTTAACAGAGAGTGCGTCTTCTTTAGGATTTGTTGTCTTTTCGAATTCCTCATCAGAATCTGACATTCGTAAATTTTCAGATCCTAATATGTCTTCTTCTAGGGATTTTTCCTTTCCATCCATTTTTTGTTCGTCCATACTTGTATTTCCAGTAATTTCATTCAACAGGTGTTGTGTGTCGTTCGCCAACTCATCCATTGCAATTCCTTTCAAAACTAAATATGAAAAGATTTTTTTTAAGATACGGCGAAAGAATGGACAGGACCAATAAGATTCAAATGATTTTAATGAATAATAATTTTCAAAAATTCCCCTATTGTTTCTCTTTGTCGACTTATAATCAATTGTTTTCAAATACTGTTAAGATATATTGGCGCGAACTAACCACTATAACCATTATATTCACTGCGAGATCAAAGATGACAAGACTGCCTATGCAACATCTGTTTTCTCGATAACGTATCGATAAAGTGTAAATGCTACCCAGAATCCTTGCAGGGCAAACGAAATTTTACAGTAACAATGGCAGAAATACACAAATGCTGTCAAGTAATCATGAATAAAATATTCACGTGTTATCGATAAATAACACGATAAAACGATCAAATTCCTTTTAGCAGATGTGTTCCTTTGTTCAGTCTGTTAAATTGCTATTTGTTAATTGGGAGTTTAACCATTTAACAGAGCTGCAATTTTTTGATTATTTATCTCATTTATTACAAGCAACTCTGCGCTTTGCCGTCTAACAAGGACTTTAGCGAGGGCTTTGTTTAAAAATTATGGCGATCTAATTTTAAGTTAACTTGTAAAATTAAAGAAATTAAGAAATTTTATATGAAAACATAGATTTATTAAAAAAAATAAAGAAAAGTTAGATACTAAATATCCTAAAGTTTTCACTACTTTCCCGACGGCTTTGCATTTTAACAGATATGTCCCTTTGTTAACATATTATTTAACGACTGAATTGTGTTACCATTTAAGTTGTTAAGTTGGGCATTTAACCATTTAACAGAGCTGGCATTTTTGTAGCTTATGTCCACAATATAACAGAAATATAAATAGCTTTATTTATATAATAGTTTTATTATATATTTAAAATAGCTTTATTAATAAATATAAAAATATATATAAAAGAAAACTAAACTAATTTCATTTTACAAGTTACAAGTTAAAGTGGATGATGGTTCAGCAATAACAACCTCAGGATAAGGCTGTAATATCAAGATAATAAAATAATAACAAAAACTAAATGTTTCCTGTGGAGTCAGAAACATATCACGTTAATAATATCCGTCAACTTTAATAATTTTGAAAAAGCGCTCCTAAGTTTTCAGATAAAACAATTAATAAAACGGCAACTTGGTAATCTCACGACACCGACCGCATGTGTTTCACATAAGAAAAAATAAATAGATAAAATGGCCCGGAAAAAAAACATAAAAAAGAAACTTGAAATAGTTTTTGATCCTCAAAAAAGAAAGTAAGTGCATATGGTGCAGTATATCCAAGAAATACTTATTTTTTCTGAATTTTGCAAAAACCAAAAAAAAGAGAATTTCTTATAGGCTTCCGAAAACGAAAAAATGAAAGGCGTAAACGAGCTAAAGAACAGATTGAACGTTGCCTTAAGGAGGAACGCAAACGTATACGGCAAGAGATCAAGGAAGGATTTACGAATTTGAAAAAGACTTTTGAACCCTTACGGGAGTTGACGGGAGAAGATAAAATCATTGAAAATGACGAATACGAAGATAATGACGTTCATGTGAAAATTACTGAATTAACTACTAGTGATATGGCAGCCCAACGCCACATGTTAGGTGAAAATCAAGGTCGTGATAGCGAAGAAAGTGCTGAAGAAGAGAATAGCGAAAATGACAACGATATTGATGCAAACGTTGTACCTGGCATGGATTATGATATCAATGTTAAAGAAAAGGAAACTAAAAAAACAACAAAGAGGGAATCCGAAGATGTGCCTAAGAAGAACGTAAAAATGTTCAATCAAAACATAGATCTGAAAAATAAAAGGGATTTGGATCGTTTGAAGAAGAAAAACTCTTTAAAGCAACTTAAGAAAAGTAAAGCCTTTAAATTGAAAGAACGCCTTGATAAAAAAATTAATCAGAAAATCGCTCGAAAAGAAAGAAATAATACATTGAGAAGTCTGCCGAAGCACTTAAGGAAAAAGAAGAAGCTAGAAAGTGCATCCTATTGCAAAGGGCGCTTGGTTAGTCAGAAACACCTAAAAAGGAAATCCGAACGGTGAATTTTTATATTAAAGAAAGTAAAGTCATATTACAAAAAGTAATGTAAAGTCACATTAAAGAAATTAAGTACGTAAGAAACGCACTGCTCATTCCTTTTAGTTGAGAAATTTGCTTCAAGTAGAAGTTATTGAATTCTTTTGATTATATCAGAAGCAGAATTGGCTTCCAGTTCTCACAATGCATTTTATTATCTTGTATCTGTTTAACTTCTTTTGCTGCCTATTACATCAAATAAAAAGTGAAAACATTTTCTTAACTCTTGACAGTGAACTTTTCTTTTTGTCTTCTTATAGTCACCACGTTTGGTATTTTTCCAAGATTGGAACAATGGGAAGGTGGAAAACAATGTAAGTCAAACATTGGTTTCCTCAAGCTTTTAAGTGTTAAGTTTAAAGACTTTGTTTTCGTTTAGGGTTTTATGCAACTTATTTCAAATGAAGATCGTAACATATTGTCAATCTCTAAACTCGATCGCAATCATAAATATTGCAGGCTTTAGTATCTACGCCTCCGGTATTGTTTGTGACAATTTTCGCTTTTTGTTGAAAATTTTCCTATGTATGCTATATTTTATTCTGTTATAGTAATGAACGTCATCACAATTTACAAAGTGCTGCCCAATCGTCGTAGTCACTCTTGCATGCAAAGCAAGTCATGCTTATAGTATTTTTGATTAAAAACTTCTTTAATTTCGAAATCAATTTATTTAAATGTAATAAAGAGCAGAAAAGAGGCCGGTTATTACAATATTTTATCAGCTTCGAATATAATTTCCATTTCTTTCAATTTTTTTTAATAGTTAACATTAATAAATAGTTATATTTGAAAAAACGATTTCAATATGTAAATAATTCAACTTTGACGCCACACTTGTGACAAGCAGGATGCATGTAGAAGTTCCATGTTTATGACGTAAAAGTAGAAGAAAAAAAGATCATAGTTTCCAAATAAGTTAATTAAGATAATTACAATAATCGCGAGAATTTGCCAACAATCGTACTATATTTCGCTTTTGTTGTTGGCCACCGTTTCCAAACGTTCGATTACTTCACCTAAATCCAATTGTTTGTTGATTTTCAAATACATGGTTTTACGAACCTCGTAAAACGTTAACCATTTTGGCACTTCTTTAGCTATTAATTGCAGATGATGCTCAATTTCCACTGAATTGAGACAAATGCGAAAGCTATTTTGGATTCTTTTAATAATAACCTCCTGAGTTAAGACGCCCTTGCGTTCAGTAATGAAGATGTTGCGTAAGTAGCGAGCCAATTCGGGTAGTCGTGAATACTGCGCAGCCTCTTTGTCTTGGGAAGGACGTCGAGTCATGGCTTCTAAAGCCTTAGCAGCTTGTTTAGCTCGTATCTTTTCCAGCAAAGCTTTGGGTACGCCTTTTAATAAATCAGGGATTGGTACAGGATCGAATGGGCAGCCTGTCTCATTCATTTTATTTACTTCCACTGTTTTAATACCTTTCTCGTCTTCGTTCTTTTCATTTGATTGTCGTTGATTTTTAAAATTGTCTGCTTGCAAACCATCTTCCACCACGTCAGTCTCACAGGATTCGCCTGCTTTTTCCATACAAGTATTATAATGAAATAAATTGCGAGTCGTCAATAAGATATCTTTAGCGGAAGAGTATTTTTGTGTATTTGGTGGTTGGGGCAACTGGGCCAACTCAATACCAGGACAATTTTCCAAGTCGAAGTCTGGATGCCAACGTGTCACTTTCTCTTTAGGTATCGAAAGTGGTGGATCCAGTGATCTCAGAAATTTGTCATGTTCTATTTTTACGCGCTGCAATAGCTCATCTCGAAAGCGGTGTAAACGCTGCGTTATCATGTGCGGATTCATTGCACTATTGTCAGCTTTAGCTAATACATTATTTTCGTCAATTGTGTTTAATGTTTGCCGTTCTTCTGCATTATCGATGTTCGGTGTTATAACCAATTGGAAATAGTCTACCTTGGAAATGGATCCATAGTTACGCATTTTCATTTGCGTAAATGTATACGCATCAGGGAAAACTGTCTTGATTTGTGCCAAATGGTTTTGACTGAAATTCTTAAGCAACATTCGTTGCACTGCCGGTCTTAGTTTTTTGAAGGTAATGCATTCTTTACGATTATAAAACATAGCACATACTGAGTCTAAGCCTTTGAAAATCTCTAATAAATGACGATATTTATTGGGCAAGGCCAACTGGTCGCATTTGCTAGTTTTAATCAAATCTAAAAACCGTTGGTAGGCCGGAATTGCGACTATCTTGGAAGGCGAGCCATCTTTAGAAGGGCTAAATAGTAGACGCTTTGAAGCGTTGGTATGGCGCGGTGACATGAGTTCATTTTTGTCGGGTGTTGCTGGGAGTAACTTAGTGGGCGTCTTAAAAACTTTAGAAGGGCTGTATAAAGAAGAAAACAAAATTACATCTTTATGATATTTATGATCAAAGTTATATTATGTATGCTTCGGAGTAGACATTTGATATCCGTCGTTGCAAGAAATATATAAAATTGTAAAATATTTGGTTACTCGTAGGGCATTTCGTCACTTTGTCTATCCGAATTTTTATTCTGAAGTTTGAATTTTTCAAAATACAAATATAGTAAATGTTCTGCCTACCTGCTGAAGACTTCCAATTCAATAGTATCGAATTCTTTCAATTGTACCCCAGCGGCTTTTTGGCACGGAGATGTTGACTTTTTTAGAAGTCTGCTCTTGTTTTCTTGCGCTTTCCGTGTCTTTTCAAGTTCTTTTATCCGTGCCAATGATGCCTTTAACTCTTGCAATTTGGACGATCGTGATATTTTTGTTTTAACTTCATCGAAGTTGAGTTCTTTTTTAACATGTGATTTTAGCTCAGTCCGGCTTGCAAGCACGGAGCCCTTTATAATCTGTTTTGTAGGAGTTTTAAGATTTGTTTCATCATTCTTGGAATTTCTCAATTCCGACTCTGTAATGTCCACATTACCAGGAGCACAGGGTGTAGTTTCATTTATCTGTTTTCTGCTGAGAATAGGCGTGTTCTCCGCTTTTTTGGGCGATAAAGAATCCTTTTTAATGCACTCGACAAGATTCTTCTTCTCCTTCGTTTCTTCTTCAATTTTGGTCATCTTTCTTGGAGAAACTCCAGTAGCGGCTAACTGAATGCTTTCTGGAATACCGAAACGCTTAATCATTCGTCCGGAACAGGAGCGCAGGTCAGTCTTAAAATTCGATGTGTCATCATCTAACTGCGACTCTATGTTTGTTTCCTCTTCTAGAGGCTGTAAGGAACATAAATATAACAAAATACATAAATTAGTATTATAAATTAGTAATAAATTAATATTTTTTTCTAATTGTGATTGTATAAAGCGTAATGGCGTCTGCAGCATAACGCTGAACTTTGTGCATTCTGTCAATAGCAAATTTTATTCAAACATGGAGGTTTGATTTAAGGGCGCTTCTATATACATGTAATGTAATAGCATTATTTTGAACCTAATAATCGACGCTTACTCTTGTTTTCGTGTTAATAAAGTCCTCAGCATTTGCTCGTTTACGTGTATTAAAAAATGATGTTATAGAAGGCTGAGTCATTGTTTTTTCTTTAAATTCCTTTAAAATATTCTAATTTACTTCTATAAACTTGTTGTAAATTACAATTAAACACGCGAAATACTCTATTACTAGCCACCGCTTAAATTACAATTGATTAGAAATTTTCCCTCCAAAAGAAAAATTGTCTGTTGACGTTTGCTTTATTAAAACAAGTCTGTTAAGATAGCAACAAAGTTCGGCAACTTGTTTTGTATACAAAACGGAAACACGAAATTGAAACAATTTAGTTTTGCAATCTTATAACAAGTTTACATCATATCGAACGGAAACGTGATGCTCTGTCTTATTGGCTATGGACAGTTTTTACAACTATTTAATGTATATATTCCCTGCAATTTTTTTTTTAATGTTTTTGCATTTAGTACTCATTATGATAATAATTTTTTTTTTGTAATGAAACGAAGTAAAAAGTTAGTTGAACATTATTTATTTTGCCTATTGGAAGTACCTTAAAATAATATATAACACAAAGGTCACTTATCGTCGGTAACAGAGTTAATTAGAGTATAAGAATTACGAGAATAGTGGAATTTATCTACTGTTATCTCTGTCCATGACAGCATCATTGCAAACTAAAATATTGCACGATAAGATACGATCAACGATCTCTCTTATGTCTAAATTCTTAAAAAGCCAGTTTTACTAATTAATTTAAAATATTTACTGTAAAAGGACTTGCGCTATCAGACAACAAAAAACGAACCGTAACATTGATAATGGTGTTGCCATAACTAACATCTATTACCATGCATGCACAATTATTTTGTGTAAGCTATTGTCAAACTGCGATCAGCAGCCAACTTAACGTTAAAGAAAAAAAGCGGATTTATCTTTGAAATTCGCAGGCATATAGCTTCGTGCATTGGTTAAATATATTTTGTTTTCTATTGAAGAAGTTTAAATATGTCTAGCAGTTCCGCAGAGAACGACTTTATGAAAAAGGAATCAGAAGAGAATCTTAAAAATCGCCGTAAGACTTTACAAGTTTTGGATACTGACAAGGAAAACTTGGAAAATGTCATAGAAAAGCAAAATCCTTTCAAGTCGGGCATAAACCTAAATATATGTAATATTAATAGTAGTGAGTTAGGAAATCGGAAAAAAATTGATGGCAAGGCAGTTGGAATTCGCATTAATCCTCAACATAAAATAATCAAGGGTGTGCTGGGAGAAAAGAGAATCACTGAAAAAGATCTAACCAGTACTGATGGTAAAGTCAGCGAATACTATTGGGAAAAATTGGCAGAAAAAAGGCGTGAAGCACTAGATATTGCTTTGAAAGAAAATCAACAGCTGCACGATCATATTCAATGTCTAAGAGAGGAACTTGTAACTTTTCAAAAATTGTATGAAGAAGCTAAGGGTTTGATATCTGTGCTGACAGAAATTCTGAATGAAGATGAAAACAAGGATGAAACTGAACAGAAGCGCACAGTTATATATGATGAGGGAAGCAACTCGTCGGCAACCGTCATCAGTGACTTTGAGGAGTAAATAAATTGTGTTCTGTATAAATTTTTGAAGTTTGTTTACTTTTATCGATTAGTACATGAGGCTTCCATGAAATATTTATTTTTAGCAATCTATTTAAATAGGAATTATATGAAAAAATTTCAGTAATTACGTTTGATGCAAGGGACTTACTTGGCACATACGCTTTGCCAAGCTGGAGCGAGGTATAACTCATTGTTCAATTTAAGGATGTGTATTAATATAAAAATTGGATGTCGCTGCCTGTGAGATTTAAAATAAACATATTTCGACTTTTCAAAGCGTTATTTGTAATCGTTTCATATTCGCGATAGGCGAGGGAAGGCGGATGCGAATGCTTACATGTATTAAGAACTGTAACACACGTTTCCAAGGCAGTTGAAGTCACTAATTGTATACATCACGGAAGTTGTTACGTTCGAGGGTTTTGCTTTAAACTTTCCTAGCGATCGTCAAGCATAACAAATGGAATACTATGATCCCGGGCGGCTATGGAAACTTAGGCCATCTATAATGCTTCAATATATTAGAGGAGGGAAATAATATCAAACATGGGAGTTGTGTGGTGTTGAAAGGTGTCGAAAACCGAAGAAGGAAGAAGAACAAATCTTATAATAAATGTGTACATAGGTAAGTTTTAGGAAAAACTTCAAATGTATATTGAGTTAAATTTCCATATTCGTTCTTTTAATGACGGAATCTACTATGTCCATCAGCTGTTTCTTTACCCCAGCTTGTGCAATGTGCTTTTAAATTGTTATGATTGCTTTCAATTATCATCCTTTTCAGGGGATAAGGTGGTATTCAAAATTAGTCTCATCGTCTCAATATCATGCTTTCCATTTGGAAAGTGCTTCCAAATTGAATTTTGCATCCACTACTATATCGTTAATGGTCCACAGGTTCCTTACCAAAAACTACGATACCGTGGATTGAATATGCGCTCGAAGTTTGGATTCTTTCCAATACATTTTCCTGTAAATGTCTGCTTGCTGTTCTTTGTGAGAAATTCGTTGCGGATATAGATTAATATCTTTGACGCAATTTGATCGGCGAGATCATTGAATCTTTTTGTTTAACAATGCGTTTCAATTTTTCTCTTTTTTTGTCATATTGACAAGATGTAACACTAACTGGAATCTATTTGACAACAGACCTTCATTAATGCTTCTTCGGCAGTGGAACTTTGATTTGATTGAGCGAAATGATATTCCAATTAATTTTTTTGATTGTTTCACACATGTGCACATAAGACTGTAAATGATATCTACAGCTCGTCATTTAATATGACAAATTGAATTGGCCTCCTTTGTATCATCTCGGATATGTGTTACAGCATGCAAGGTGGCCAATCATTTTGGTTTAAAATGGGGCCTGACTGGCTTATGGTTCTCAGGGCAGCAATTTTACAATGAAAAGGAAAATGCATACTTGATCGAGACAACTATGTACAACTCTATTCGCCGCGGAGGGTCTATTGAGTCAGCTATCGAATGTGTATGCAAGCTTAGTAAATTCCAAAATGAAAAAAAAAAAAAAAAAAAAAAAACAAGCTCAGCATTTCTTTTTAATGAGTTATTCAGGTCTCAAAGCCTATTCTTTTGCTTGGATGCATCCAACTTGCGTTCCTTATCCTTAAGCAAGTAGCTTCACCTTCGCCAGTCGGGAATACATATGTATTACATTAAAAGCCTGATTTTTCATTGCGGTAGATTTCAGGTTTGCACTTGAAGAGAAAAAGATTGCATAAAATAAAATATAACGATCTTTATAATAAGGAATAGGGTAAGGAGGTTTACACGCATTGCATGAACAAATTGACGAAACAAAGTCACTTTGAATCTTTCTCAATCTTCATAGTTTTTTGGTTATCTAAATGTGATAGCTATTTGTCGCAGCAGTACTGGTACTACGATCGCATTCATCTCATTATATAATTGCTCACATTGCATAGATAGGCGTGGCTACGTTTTTAATATATACATTTTTTCTGTATATTATTTTAATTTATTTTATATATGTTTATATATATGTGTTTCTTTAATTTTAATTAAGCATGTAGTTTCTATGTATGTGTTTTCTTTTTCTTCTCATTTTGCTTGGTATTCAATAATAATATTCTCAATATTTTAAGTAAAATATTTGATTCTCCTTTCAATTTTTTTATATTCGCGTATATTATTTAGCTTTTATATACAGGATGTACCAAAATGAACGGAAATTTGTGTGCGCGTGTGTGTGTGTGTATTATCTGAAAAAGTCGATATGCTGCCGAAGCAGTCACGTTCATTTATTGGGCGCTTTTTATTACTTTATAACTAAGCGCTCACCTCTCACATCACTGTTCTTTTCTCTAATGGAGCAAAAATGCTTTAAGATATCATATTAGAAAATTCAAAATGCTGTTCATTTCGTTACACCCTTTACAATTTGACGTTAATTTGCATAAAATTTATACAATACTTTTAAAAATTATTTGTTCTGTATACATAATTATTTCACTAAAACGATTTGAACTTAGTTGAAAAAAAAAAAAAAATGACAGTATAAAATTAAACTTGCCTTAAAAAAAGCAGTTACACTATTATAACATTAACATAAAATAAAAATGCATTGAATGCATAGACATTTCCATGTTGCTATGTATTCTATATGAAGTTAATTTTTTACATTGATTTTTTCTAACATTTCTCTCTTTTAGCCAAATTAGCATTTTTCATAATTTTTTTTTGCCAACTGCGTTATTGTTCTCATTTAAACATAGAAGTCACTCAATTTATTTATTTATTTATTTATTTATTTATGATTGGATAGTAGAATGGCTTAAAAATGTTTTATAAATATTTTTTTTAGTTATTTTAATATGTACAAAAAGTCTTAGATGTTAATTTATATTTATATTTATTATTAATGATACAATAATAATAATCATAATAATAATAAAAAAAAAAAACTATAAGATCTTTTGTTTTTGTATGTTTAGGATAAAACTCGTTCCTATTTTTTGATGTCCGTTATTATCAACCGTGTATCAATTGTAGATTTAATAATACATTTAATAATAAGAATAATAGTTGTAGGACATTAATAGACAATAATAATAATATTAATTATAAATGACTAAACTAAAGAAAGTTGAATCATCTCATGCACTCATTCACTCACTCACTCATTTACTTCATTCACCTAATCACATCACAATAATCAAAACACAAGCCAATAAATTCAATAAATTGTGTGTGGCCTTAAGACTGTAACTAGGAAAGAGAAAAAAAAAAAAAAAAATAAAAAAAAAAAAATAAATAAATAAGAGAAAGAAAGGAAAAAGAATTTTCTTGTACATTATTCTTTATTAATGCAAAGGAAGTCTAAAGTCAAGTGGAGCATCTAAAAAATTCCACAAAAGTTCCTTTTGTTTTTCGCTTTGTTTTCTTTTCCGGTAACATTCATTATTCCTTTCATTGCATGATTAACACAATCAACACACATAGTATCGCACAACAGACGTACTTACGTTTTTTAACTTCCGCATTTAGGATTAGAATGAATAGAGCATTCCTACAAAAGCTCTTTGTGTCTTCGTATATTATTATTGTTCGGTATAATAAGTGAAATATACTTAGCAATAATATGTCACCTTTGCGACTATGACTTAAGTATATGATTTTATCGGCCACCGAAAGTTCTAGTTAAGAGTCACGTCGTGTATGCAATACGTTAAGGGTTGCAAAATTACGCTTTGGAAATTTATGCTGGAATTGTTGAAATTTAAATTTATTACGTTGAAAATTGCGACGAAAATTCCCAACACCGATATAAGGATGCTGCTGATGATGATGACGATGATGATGATGATGAGAATTCTGATGAAACCGTCGCCAACGTTTTTGATTTTCCTGTTCTTGGAATGGATTAAAATCGGGCGTGCGGCAGTTGTTAATCTGTGATTTCATTTTCTTTTGACGTCCACGATCTATGTCATTTTCGTCATCATATTGCCTATCGCGATGCCTTTGTTCGCGTGCCTCGTCTATAATCTATAATAAGAACCAAATTAAGTCCTACGTATATACGATACTTGCTTTTATGCTTTATTGGTTTGCTTACCTCTTTTTCAATTTCGGCTGGCCGACCATTCCAGCTGAGTACTGGAGCCCCATAACCACGATGCGATTGTTTGAGCATTTCACTAACGGCACTATCACTCGATGTGTCTCGTTGATAACCGTTACCAGCAAATTTTTTATTTGTTGTCTCCTTTTTAGATCGTTTCGTTTCATGAGATATCGGATGTTTGTTACCAGCAAATGGATTTTTAGGATTTTTGACTGGTTTCTCGGTGACGGTTCCATTGACCGCTGTCACGGATGATGTACACGACGAAGTCACGACTGTTGACGTTGGTATTGTTGTCACTTGCCAATTGCCAACTTTTGATTTAATAACGGGCGGTGAAGGTGGCGTTGAATGAGGTCTTTTTAATGTCTGTCTTGTCGTATTACTTGATTTTTGCCGACTACTATTCTCATCGGAATCGGACGAGGAGTCGCATGCCGACGCTGTAAATGATTTGTTTTGCGACTTATATTGTGATTTCTTCGACGGCGTTTGACCGTTTGTTATTGCTGTGATGGTACTGTTGAAGATTTCATCGATGGCGCCGTCCGTTGCGGCACGCTTCATCGTCTTCGAGGAATCTATTGATTTGACAGGTGATTTTGATGTTAGCGCTAGATTCGATATGGTAGTGGTTGAGGCAGCCTTCTTCATTTTTGAACCTTTAGTAGGTTTGTTTTCGGGGTCATTAGCATTAGAATCATCATCACCATTATTATTATTATTATTATCATTGGAATTACTGCTACAATTATTGCTCGATGCAGCATTGCCTTGATGTCGCTTTGAGGAGTTAGGCGCTAATCGTTTTGGTGGCTGCTGCTGCTGTTGTTGTTGTTGTAGTAGTAGCTGTTCCGCCGGTGTGGAAATTGCAGGTGATAATGCACTCGGAGCATCAGCTTCATCATCCGTCTCTGAGCCGTAGGGTACTAAAGACTTTAAAGGGGCAGGTTGCGATTTTTTATTGCATGTAATATTCTTAGTGGCTATAGGCGGTTGTGACGATTTGTTAATTGACGGATTGGGGCTCTTGGTGCTAGTTGTTACTTCAGCGCCCAACTTGGGCATGCTTGGCAGTACTGCTTGTGGGGTGACCACTTGCATCGAAGAATTTGAAGAGCTTACAATTTCAACTTCATCATCGGAGGAGGAACTTTCTTTATCTTTTGTAGCATTTGCAGTTTGCCTTTTATTTGTTGTGTTGGCCAGTAGAGACTTCGCGGGCGAAGATTCCTGATATTTTTCATTTGCCATTCCGTGGTGAACGTTATTATTTATTGTAACATCATTATTTTTCAATCCCGCAAAACTGGAACTATTCGAAGTCGAAGTTACTGAGGCACTAGTGATTAGGAATGTGGCTGCACTAGTTTTACCGCAAAGGGGATTGACGTTATTGCTTATGTTAGTTTTAAATTGTGTAGCGATTTTACAGTTATTGGTTGAATTACTACTACATCGGGATATCGCGGATGCTCGATTTACGCTGAGCTTGCCGCCATTTGTAAGCGAAGCTAATGCAGAACCGTTGGTGGTGTGTGGATAATTAGGTAGCCCGGACGGCGGCAATTGAGGACCAATCATGCGCTGTGTATTGTTTCCTAACACATGACCATTAACTTTGACTGATTGTGCGGACTCTTTCTCTGCCGTCTGTGTTTCACTTATTTGGGTACTACTGGCTACACGCTGCGGTTGCGTGTCCATTTCATAGAATATTATGTAAGCATTAGTTTTGCAAACGTCTTGTACAGGTATGGGTCGCACGTAGCTGTCATCATAATTGTAGTAAGTGCCAGAATCAGTGAGGCCAATGGCAGTGTAATGACCGCAATGCTGAGAGGCACCCAAATGAGTAACCATTGCCACAAGACGGTATGTAAGTTGTTGTTCGGATGTTTTGCGAGAAAGGTATTTGGTTAGGTCCAAGCGGGGCTTAATGGAAATTTGTTTGATAAGTTTTGTCCCCAGCATAGAGAAACGTTTTAGTTGTATACACAATGCTATAGGTGCTCGCTCTAAAGAGAACTGTTTAGTGGCAGAAACCTTACGAAAGACAAAAAAAAGTTAGCATTAAACTTTAATTAAATCTGTTTATTTCACGTACCTTCTTTTTACACGACTCGCACTTATAACCCATGTCTTCCAGTCTTTCGCGCGAGAAATAACATTCTAATGCTTCTTCAACGGTATCTGCTTTACGAATGTCTAAAAGAAGGTCTTGAAAATGCTGAAAGGTCACCGACACATGGTCACAGGCTAAACATCTGACGGCCGATTTCAAGTAACCGCCCAAGATCTGGTTAAGCGGTGTTGTTTCTTTGCTAAACTGATCTAATTCTTTATAGTTACGAAAACGCAAAAGATATGACTTCTCCATGGCTTCCACCAGATAACGTAGAAATTCGTGAGCGTCTTCTTGACGACCCACTACTAAATGTTTGCATATGCTCTTTAATTTGGAGTACACATAGTATGGCCTTATTGCCGATTGACTGGTTTGCGAGGCGTGTAACGTTTTGGCCATGGCACAAATAATGCAGCCAGCATCAGCGATATCACAACGGTCCATATGTGTTGTGTCAGACATAAGCCAGTTGGCCATTGAAGGTACATGAAACAATGCTTGTAGAGTAGAATTCAAATAGCAAGTGTTGCCAAGGTTAATCATTCCCACACCTACGTCCCATTTGTGCCCCGCGGCCTTCCAGCCAATGCGCACGTTCCCACGTGGATATAATATACGTTTAGGCTGCGGCAGTTCATTGGGATTGTTTACACGCTTCCGCACTAAGCTCGTCGCAGACGTAGCAGTATTACCATTGATATCAGGGTTATCGGAAAATGTGCAGATAGTGTAGGAGTTTGAATGCGATGGAGTCGAAGAGGAGCATGAACAAAGTAATTCATTATCATTAGTTTTTGTACTTTTTGAATGTAAAAATTTGTTAGCTATAAAATTATACAATGGCCTTAATATAAAACGATAGATAAGCCACAGGGCGAAATAGTCAAAAACAGTGGCACGCATTGAATATATTATTTCGAAAATAAAAATTTCACAATTTTCTTTTCCGTCAAAATCAATCAACATTTCTCCACAACCTTTTCACATTTCTTTATAAGAGACTGGCAGTTTTTTCCGTTATTCACTCGAAACTGTTTACGTTTGCATAAAAATTCTAACAATAGTCAAGTGTTCTGGGAAAATATGCAGAGACCAGAAAAAATTATTTTCTTCTATCATATATTCACATGCACGCACACATGTGGATATACCTTTGTAGCAATACTCGTTCGTGATTAAAGCACAAACGAGTACAGACTTCACACTTTTGACGTTTCTTGAAATGTAAATAAAATTGTGTACCCTTTGTAGCGAAGTTGGAATGAAATTTTCCGCCGCGGCGATAGAACAAATTTATTTACCCTTTGACAGTTATTTGATGAGTATACACTTTTGATCTTCTTTTCAACAATATTTATATCAAAAATTAACATAAAATATAGCGAAAGGATATCCACTCAGTTTAACCTTACTTAAAAAAAAAATAAATAAAATAAAGTTTAAAGTTTTTACGCACCACAAGTTTCTCATATGGAAAGATAAATCTTAAAGATGAAACTTTTTTTGTGTTTATGTTTTGTTTCCTTTTCGTTATTTTACGCTGGTTTTTGCACTTTGAGTACAATGCATAAATAAAAAATAGATCTATCTATGTACGTATAGGTATAGGTATAGGTATAGGTATAGATATATATATAGATATAGATATATATATATATATATATGCATATGCATGCACTGACGTGTGAATAATAAATATGTAAACTCTTCGAGGCCCTGTGCGAAAAATTGTATTATTGCCACATTTAAGTACTTTTTTATTTTCACGGAAGATATAACTTCTTTGCGGCAATTCTTTTTTCCGAAAATCATTAAAAATGACAGCTAAGCTTTTCCACAGCAAGTTGGATATATATAATTGTTTGGTAGAGAAATATTTTTGTCAATTTCGCTCGGTATCTCACTAAGGATTATGCTCTGGCAATGTCGTAAAGATAACAGTTTTCCTCTTGCGTAAAGAGAATTTACTAGCGTTCTCTTTTCTTCACAGCACGCTGTTTTAAAACGCTATTTACTTATACTCATTCTCAAAACGTACACACACACACACACACACACACACACATATATGCACGCAACAAACAAACAAACGCACATACACAAATGCAATCGTTAAATATTTATATACCTATATTCATTCAATCTAAATACCCCAGATTTTATATTAGAGCAAAATATGACAACTTACCGGCTGCGCCGCCGTCACCATTTGCGCCATTTTGAGTGTTGTTTTGATTACAAGCAGCGGGTGAAGCAGATCCATTTTCGTTGTTGCTGCAATTATTATGACCAGACGGTTTCAAAACTATATATTTGGACTTAAGATTATCCAATACCGCTTGGCCATAGTTGTTAACCTCCTCGTATTCAAGTTTAGATAACAAAACTCTTTTTGCAGAGGCAACTAACTTATTTTGAAGGCTTTCACCATCATCAGATTTTGCAACAGAGCAACCGACGTTGGCAATTGCCTTAGCGTCATCGCTCACCGAAGTACTTGAAGTTGAACAGCCACCCCCGTTACCAAGAGACTCTCTTATAGCGGCATTAACATTTGCCGTCGTTTCACAAACCACCGATACCGGCATGGAGGTAGTTGATGCGGGTGTTTGTGGCGGAATTTTGCGATTTAGTTAATTCCAATGCAAACAAATTCTTTAAATCCGTTGGGATTTGGAATTTGATCAATAAACAAATTTCGTTCGGGTGAAAGCCACGTTTGTCTGGTACCTGCCGAACGGCCTTCTTTGTTTTTGCCCTCTTCTGTGTTGTTGGCTGTAAAATGCCGAAAAACACAGAAAAGAAGCAAAAGTGATTGAATGTTGCGTCTTGTCTACTGCTCTTTTTTACATTCTCCTTGAATGTCCTTCGTGTTTTTGTTTTCTTCTCCGCTAATTCTATATTTGCAAGTTATGGACCCCAAACTTTTTTTCTGCCCGTAGAACTTAACTAAATATTTATTTACTCGTGCAAGCGCGCGCTTTATCCAAAAAGTTCAATATATTTCTATTTTCTCATTAATTGATGATTTTCAGTTGCAAAACATACATACACGTTTTATCTTTTGCATTTTTTTTTCGTTTTCGTCACTTTACACACATTGCCATGCGTCTTGGTGGTTGAAAAAAATTTCGTTAACGGGTATTTTAGCCAACAATTCGGTTAGTTTTATTAATTTTATAGTTTTTTGGAAGCAATTAAATCTTTTACGGTATATTTTCCATATTCTCGCCTTTCATAATTAATAAAAAATGAAAAAAATACGAAATTAAATGTCTACACGTCCGTATCGGGAAAATTTTTCTTCTTCCGACTACGAAGAATTTAACGAACACAACGAAAAGCAACGTTTCTATAGAGTGGTAGGTAGGGTCGCCAACACTTTTATGCATGAAGACATTGCACACGATATGAGGATTAATGTCATGCATGAAATAAGTTAAAGGCATCTTGCTTACGGTCTAACTTTGCTTGAAACAGATCGTAAATAATTTATAAAATATTTATACAAAATTAAATCGAAATAATTGAATTTTTCTTATATATAACAAAATCTAGAGTTGCTTCATACGATCTCTATTACATATAACTATTTCGAGCGGTCAGAAAGTAGCGAAGATTAGGAGGACGATCGCAAAACAGTAGGAATTCTCTAGATAAAAGTAAAGTAAGTTAGTAAAGCTATGAAGAATCTGCGCTTATGATTAACTGAGATAAGAAATAAACAAATTACATCAGGTATGTCTGATGAATATTACTTATATAGCGCTACCAAATATATTAAACGATTGATGAGACGAAATGGTCATGTTTGAAGAAGGAGTGTGCAAATTGTCGCAGAAGTTATACGGGGAAAACCGAAAACTTTGCCCGTTTTCCAATAGAAACTTTTCAGGATAATAATCTTGGAATAACTTCAAATACACAGGAAGTAAAAAAAAAGTCAAGGAAGAAGGTAGTCAAAACTCTCCCCTTATTGCCTAAGGCCCTCACCGTCTTAACATTAATTTCTAAGAATATAATGAGAAGTGAAACGTTCTCCAGCTCAATGGAACTGTTATTAAGCTCATATAGATCAATTAGTTTACTACTGACATTTTCGAAAACTTGGACAACACTTGAATAATATGTGGTGCATCATGCCACACATTTCATGATAAAATCAATTTGTAGCAAGAATCATCAATTATTATTGCTATAAATTTAGCCAGATAATAAATTGTAAGATTAGGCTTCGGCTTTATTAAAAACTCTCCCGCACTTGAGATTTGAACCCATGACCATTTAGTTGCTAGTCGAGACTCTTGTTTACTCGGCCACGCAGGTGGATAAGAAACATTGAATGTCCTGAAATACCTGCGTGAGCTTGTCACAAAGATCATGCTATGTAACTCTGTTGGACTTTTTGACTTTGGAATTTTGCTGGAATGTTGGCTTATTTGAATAAACCGCGAACTTTCAATTACCTTATTGACCAGGATCATTCGAATTATTAATGAAATTAGAGCAGGAGTAAATTTTTACAAATGTTCAAAGATGTTCATTTGCATGAAATCCTCTTTTAGATGAAAACACCGTGAACCAATATGGAAAATAAAAAAAAATTCATATTGAAACCTTTCTTTCATCTTTGTTTACGAAGAGTTACTTGCAGTTTTGAAACAAAAACTTATCATATATGATAAATGGTTCGATTCCAAGAATAAACATGGGCCGATTGAACAATGTCATCTGGTCATTTCGTACATCGGAGAAGCCATTGAAAATGAAAATTAAATGCCATACTCTATAGAATTTTTACTTTAGCTTTTCCGATCACTGACAATATATTAACTGCGTTATATGCGGATGAAGTAGCAATCCTATTTTCACCTAATGGCTCCATGAATGTTTCCCGCAAACTGCAACTTCATCTCAAGAATTCAGCTTCAGCTTTAGTTGAACTAATGGAATGTTAAAACAACAGCCGTTACGTTCTTATCGTATCAACAATTGTGTAAAATATCTTGACACACATATTGACCAAGGATTAAAAAGGAAATTCATATAAAAGCTAAATGCCGTCAATTTGACTTAAAAACGAGAAAAGTCTGTTGATTAATTCGTCCAGAAAATCAACTTAATCTGAGAAATAAATGCATTTCATTCAAGAGTGTCCTCTAATCAACGTGGACTTAAGGCATTAAGCTGTGAAGAGTAGCAAGGATATCTAATATTAAAGCATACTAAAATCCCGCTATGCATCGCTTCACTTTGCGTTTTTTCTATGCTGCATCGCTCTTCAATTACAGCTGATTTTCGCTTTGCGTTGCCATATTTTCGAATTGTGTTGTTTTTTGTTTTCCTCGCAAAAGAGAATTCTCCAGAAAAATTATGACTGAAAATTTGTAAATTTCAGGGAATCACCATATATTTTTGCCTTACCTAACAAAACATTCACATTTCTTGTATAATATTGCTAATTTATTTTGTTGAACAATAATCGATGAAAAAAATGTTGGAATCATATACCAGTTCTTAGACAAAGTTGCGATTCACTTTGCGTTGTGTTTTTTTAGAACGTATCTACAGTGCAAAGCGGGGTTCGTTAGCAACCGAAGTATTCGCGATGACCTAGATTTTCCGTGTATTGACAATCTAATTCAGCGCATTTATTTAAAATATTTTGTCAGACTGATTTATCACATAAATCCTTTGGCCATATCTCTTTTAGATGCAACCAATGATATAAGAATTTTCAATGTTCTTCGCATACTGGATTTTCTACTTATAAATTCATTTATTTATAATTTTCCAAGTTTACCTATTCTTTTCCTCTTTATGTTTATAAATATCAAATCTGCGTTGTTATATTATTTCCATATTCCGGAACAATAATCTCTCACCTATATATGCTTATTATACTTATTATATTTTTCAATAGATTGTGTATAAAATAGGTAATAGAAATAAATAGAATTTAATACAAGAATGTTGTTTTGCCGTAGACTTATTTCGATAATTTCTATGACAAGCGATCAATAATTTAAAATAACTAAGTATAAAAAATGGCTGCAGGCTTTTATTTAATGTATGAAAATACTTAAAAAGTGTTACTTGTTAAAACTCTTCATACACACGCTATTGCCAATGAGATGATGAGACGACCAAAAATTCGGTATAATGTCGCCTAAAAATGTACCGTTTGTCTATTACGTTATGCATGCAACGCTGTGTTATATTTCGTAAATTACGATCACCTAAACTCAACGTCAAGAAAACGGGATATTTATTTGCCATAATTGATTAGATTTTCAAGTTTACAATAAATAAAAGGCGATTAGGACTATGCTTACTCTAGGCTGGCAGGAGCATGTTCACTCCAAAATAAAAAGAAAACAGCAAAACAAAGTAGTGGATTTGTATTAAATATGTTTCCTCAGCGATTTAAACACGGGAGTGTTTTTGCAAACTTGCTTGGACAATCACGCACAGCAGTTCCAACACATCTAGCGAAAATATTATGCAATATATTTGAAAATAAATTTGTTATAAAAACAAATCCATTTAATTTTTATATCCTACACCACTTGTGGTGCAGGGTACATTAACTTAGAGCGGTTGCATGTAACACATACAACGGCTTAAGATGGACCCGCCTTTTATTATACCGATGGATTCAGAATCATTTTCTAAATTGATTTAAGCCTGTTTGTCCGTCTGATGTCTGTCCATGTAAATTTGTGTTCACGCGACAAGTCGCAATTTTTGAGATATTTCGATCAAATTTGGTACAATGACGTGTTTTGGCCCAAGGATGAACGCTATTAAAAATGGTTCGGATCGATCCACTTTTTCGACCACTCCCCATACAAAGCTTTGTTCTGAAAAGTCTAATATAATTGTAATTTTCAATATTTCTCGGCAAAACTGACTAAGTAGTAATATTTCGGCATTCTTCAAATATTAAATTGGTGTGAAAACATTGGACCAGTTGGGGCAATTTTCGGAACTCTCTTTCATATAGCGAAGACTAATGTTCATACGTCAAAAAGGTATAATTTTCAATGCTTCACGGTAGTATAGTATATCACGGTACCATAATCACGGTATATAATATAGTACATAGTATAGTAGTTCACAATAGTAATTTAATATAAAAAATTAACTGTGTCAAATTTGAACCATCTCGGTCTATTTTTTGGATCCTACCGTAATAACGATTTTCCCGACAATTGACCGTTTGTAGAATAGAAAAGTCCAAGTTCTAATATGTGGTGATAAAAATTGGCCCATAATATTATAGTAATTTCAAATACAAATATAAATTCTACAAAATTTGGAACATCTACGCTCATTTATTCGCTCGTTTTCATAACAATACATCAAAAAGTACACAGTATTTGCATGAAAGCCCGAATATTGAAAGATTTGATCTTCTCTCCATATAAGAGTTTGCGTTTCGTGATTGCACTTATATATGAGATCCAAATTCCCTACGTTTAATTTTTTTGCTCAAACGCTACTGCGAACTAGTTTTCCTCATAAAATAGTAAAAATGAAGCAATTTTCGGAAGGGCTTACTACTCATGATATATTTTATAGGAAGGAGACTCATAGGGTTCAAATTAGGTTCACTTAATATTTTTATTATGTATGTGGCTGATTTTTTCAATTATTTGTAGAGCAATTTTGTTGACATTTATATCGGATATCGGTTGTAGTTTATGAGCAACGTGCAAAAGATACGGAAAAGTAAAGACGTTCTCAGTTATGGTTGTCTAGGCGTGTTGGCATTGTAGGCGCTTACACCTTTGCGAACGGGCCAGTATGTATCATAGGTACGACACAATTAGGCACACGGGCCGAGGGGCAACGGACTAACAGATGCATAGATGCTAATCGGGAATATATATACCCTACGGGATGTATGAAGATTTATTCTGAGCGTTGTAAACGTTTTGACAAAATATGAATATTCTCCCCATTCGCCGGTACTATGCTACATAGACTTTACATATTATATTAATTCTCTAAATGAAGATGAAGGTATTAGCCATGAAACTAGGTATTACTGACGGCTGTCGGCGCTTTTAAGACATATTGTAGTAATTCTCTAAACCTCTTTGTACCCATGACCGAAGAATGAAGGGGAGTATTCATTTTGTCAAAATATTTGCAACGTCTAAAAGAAAGATTCAGCGACTCCAAAAAGTATATATATTTTTGATTAGCATCAGATTCTAGATCGATTTAAGTATGTCCGTTTGTCCCCCTTATAAATATTGTCTTGACGGCAAAAATTAAGTTATCGGCTTCA